GGGGTTCAAATCCCAGGTAGCCGGCTCAAGGTTGACTCAGCCTTCCATCCTTCCGAGGTCGGTAAAATGAGTACCCAGCTTGCTGGGGGGTATTGTGTAGCCTGTATAATTAAAAATTGTAAACCGCCCGGAGAGTGCTTGTAGCGCTATGGGGCGGTATACAAGTCCAATAAATAAATAAAATAAATAAATAAAAAAACTAAGATCATGGCCACTGGTCCTATCACCTCCTGGAAAATAGAAGGGGAAGATATGGAGGCAGTGACAGATTTTACTTTCTTGGGCTCCATGATCACTGCAGATGGTGTCAGCAGCCACGAAATTAAAAGACGCCTGCTTCTTCAGAGGAAAGTGATGACAAACCTAGACAGCATCTTAAAAAGCAGAGACATCACCTTGTCGACAAAAGTATGCACAGTCAAAGCTATGGTTTTTCCTGTAGCAATGTATGGAAGTGAGAGCTGGATCACAAAGAAGGCTGACCACCAAAGAATTGATGCCTTTGAATTGTGGTGCTGGAAGGACTCTTGAGGCTCCTCTGGACTGCAAGGAGATCAAACCTATCTATTCTAAGGAAATCAACCCTGAGTGCTCACTGGAAGGACAGATGAAGCTGAGGCCCCAATACTTTGGCCATCTCATGAGAAGAGAAGACTCCCTGGAAGAGACCCTGATGTTGGGAAAGTGTGAAGGCAAGAGGAGAAGGGGATGACAGAGGATGAGATGGCTGGACAGGGTCATCGAAGCTACCAACATGAATTTGACCCAACTCCGGGAGGCAGTGGAAGACAGGAGGGCCTGGTGTGCTCTGGTTCATGGGGTCACAAAGAGCCAGACACGACTAAACAACAAATCATAATTGCATTTACTTGCAGTTCTCTTAAATATATAACTATTCTGTAATGATTTCAGAGAGGTCCAGCAGTTGCCAGATTGGAGTTCACATGGGGGGGGCGGGCTCCATAGGTTTCTGTGTAGATCATTGGTTCCTAACCTTGATATTCTTGGATTAAAACTCCCAGATACCTTCACCACTGGCTGCGCTCACCAGGATTTCAGGGAGTTGTAATGTAAGAACATCTTTGGACCCATGGTTGGGAACTACTGGTAAGGGGGTCAGGAGTACGATTCCTTCTTGTATCTTGTAGAAGAAGAGCTAGTTTGAGTGATCTTTAGCAGGCTGCACAGTGCAAAGCACTCTCAGAAGAAGGGAATGGTAAACCACTTCTGGGTACTTGTACGTACCTAGAAAACCTTGGAAATAGTTGAAGAGGTAGAATTTCCTTGGAGGCACATTATTATTATCAATAGAAGATCTAGATGAAAATAATTTATTTTTAACCTTCTTATCAGGAAGACAGTTCACAATGTCTATGTGTCACATTATCAAATGTCCTACTTGCACAAGGATTGGAAATGTATTATTGGATTACAACTCCTATCATCCTTCATCATGAATTTTTAAACATATGTTTATTATGCCAGAAAAGATAAGGAAAAACAAAAAGACTGCAAAAGACAAACATTAAACAAAAAGGACAGCAATAATAGTAAAAAGGATGCCCATACATAAGCTTCTGTGAAAAGTTTACAAATGTCTAAAATATAGCTACATAATCTATATGTCATACATTATACATTTGCATCTTGACAGAGTTGTAAGGTTCTCAGTCACTCGAGTAAGAGATAGACATTTATCTTTTCGATGTTATATGTAATATATATTTTAGCAACAATAAAGGCACAGAAAATCCAGTTTTACTGATATTTGTTGTGAGACACCTTCTCCCAAATATGGTCCTTCTAAGAAATTCCTGCTTGTGATGCTTGTTGCTGGTGATTTTCTTCTACAAAAAGTGGAGGAAGAAACTAGTTACAGTATTAGTTATTCTTGACTTGATTGTAAGCAAAAGAGATAATATACTGTAGTAGTAGAAGAAGCAGTAAGGGGAACTCTGTGGGAAAGTGACTACATTCTATTTGAGATATTGATTTCAAAGGAAACAAAAACAGAATGTACACTGGGTTTTAAGAAAGCCAATTTTAATAAACTCAGAAGACTGATAAGTAAGGTCTCGCAGCAGGAGATCCTGACAGGAAAACAAGTCCAAGATGGATGGGAGTTTCTTAAAAAGGAAATTCTAAATTCTAAAGGCACAGCTGCAAACAATCCTAACAAGAAAAAGGTGGAAGATAGCAAAAAAGATAAATGTGGCTTTACAAGAGAACCAGAAAATTTAAAAAAGGTACATATAGCAAGTAGAAGGAAGACCAGAACACGAAGAACAAGGAACAAAGAATTGCAAGCATAACATTAGTGAATGTTTAACCTCAAGACTGACAAGATATGGTGGCATTTTTCAAATACTTGAAAGCAATCCTACAGAGAAGGGGAAGGATCTGTTCTCAATCATCTCAGAGTGCAGGACCCGCAACAATGGGCTCAAGTTACAGGAAGCCAGATTTCAGGTGAATATCAGGGAAAACTTCCTAACTGTTAGAATACTACAACAGTGGAACCAGTTATCATGGGAGGTGGTTAGTGCTCCAGTGCTGGAGGCATTCAAGGGAAAGTTAGATCATGATGTTAGTTATCCTCTGATTTGGCTTCCTGCTTTGAGCAGGGCATTGGACATGATGGTCTTTTAGTCCCCCTCCAACTCAATTATTCTATGATTCTGTTCTATGATTCTTTGACCCAAGCATAATCAATAGGGTACTGAAGCCCCATGTGTCAAAATGGCAATTTCTGACAATGACACAAACACTGGTAACTTGTACAGGATACCTGTGTGCTAAGTAAGGATGTTGTATGTGATCCTTGTCAATATAGAGTTGTGTGCTTTTAGAACCTTTTTCAAATTTGTGATAATTCTACACATCTGAAGTTTCTGCAGCCATTCAAGAGTTCTCTGGTAGAGCAGAAGTGCAAGAATTGTGGTTTCTAAGCCATTAAGAAGTCACTACATTTTGCCAGAGGCTTTGTCACTGACGTTGAGAAGCTTGCTCAGTGAAGCTCCTTCTCATTTTTGGATCCTCCATTCTATAATTATTGCAGTGCAATATTTTTGACAAGCAGAATTTGAAAAACAAAAGATTTGAGTGTGATTGCATTAACCTTTTTAGTTTTCAATAAATTATCTATTGTTTTAAGCATCCACTAGACTGCAGTATCTGTTCTTCTGTGTCATTGGTAAGATTGTTTTAGAAAATAAAATATGCAAAACAATGTAATATAAACCCTTAACAGGTGCTTGTATTTTGTGTTTCAAACAAGCTTCACTCACTTTCATACTGAAAGGGTAATGCGTATAAAATAAGTAAGTTGTTACATATCTGGTCAGTGAGACTGGAGTCTTTTCTTTGAGGGAGATCCTGTCTAAATGCTTTTCCTGGCAACATTGCTTGTTTATGTCTCTTGGTCTGGCAGCAGTGCCTGCTTTTTCTGAGCATGTTCTGCAGACTTGCCAAGCACAGCTGGGTTGGATTTTTCAGGTTTCTAGATTGGAGACTTGGCGACTGAACTGATTGTTTTTGTAGGAGCTAGCCTCGTGAGATTAATTTGTCCATTGTTAGTAATTCATATCATTAACACATATCAAAATGGCAAATAATAGTAAAATTGATACAATATTTCTGGCTAAAATGATTTAGAGTAAGAGATTTTTAATTTTTTTAAAAATTTTTTTAAAGGAACTGCATCTTTACTGGGGGTGGTAGTTATGGTGGAAAAGAGTAGAAACAAGGCATACTTATGACCTGCTTCAAAAAAAAACACAAGCTGCATTTTTTACACACTAATTTATATCTTCTTTCTCTTATAGAGCTAAATACCACAAGTTAAAATATGGCACAGAGCTGAATCAGGGAGACATGAAACCGCCAAACTATGATTCTGGTAAGGATTGATTTGTGTGGAAGAAAGCAATTAAGAGTGCATGGAAGACAAAGCTTTAATTTTGTGAATAATGCTAAGTTTGTTTGGCTTGATGTGGGTGGAACAAGAATCAGAGCTTAAGGATCAGGAATGAGAAATAGGGAGAGCACAGAGTGCTGTCCTCTGAAGATGCCGGCCACAGAGACTGGCGAAACGTTAGGAAGAACAACTTTCAGAGCCCGAAAAACCCACAACAACCAGAAATAGGGGTGTTTGTACTCTGCTACTTTGCATGCATATCTCCCCCTCATATTTGCTATTTCTAAGTATAATACAGTAATAAGATCTGTGGCTGTTATCCAGCTGGCTTTAAATGAAACTGAGTTTGTTCCAAGCTCTGCTTTAAAAACATAGGTTTTTATTTGGAGTCCCAAAGAGACTTCAAGGATTGTACATCTTGTATAACCAGAGTTAGCAACAGTTGGACAGTATCATGGATCAAATCAAAATGCAGAAGGGAAGGAGGCATTTGATTGCCTAATCCTATGGTCTGGTCTCTTAAAATTAATTTATTTATATCCTTGAAAACAGAGACTTAGTGTCCTACTTCAAATGTATAAAGTTCATATCAAAATCTGGCTTCTCTCCTTGCACATACGAGATAAGCAAGGGTGCTGACAGTACATAGTAGTACAGTGGTGCCTCGCTTAACGAGCGCACCATTAATGATGAATCCGCATAGCGACCCATTTTTTGCGGTCGTTAATGCGATCGCATTGCGATGTTTAGATAGGCTAAACATCGCATTGCGATCATTTCTGCACCCGGCGGCCATTTTGGGAACAGCTGATCGGCGGTTCCAAAATGGCCGCCGGGTGCAGAAAATGACCGCCCTCACCATTTTTGCGCCCAGCCCTCGCTTACCGAGGGCGCAAAAATGGCGGCGCTATGGAGAAACTTTGCAGAACAGTGAGTTTAAGAGCCATAGTTTCTATGCCGTTTCCCATTCTGCATAGCGATGTTTCCCCATAGCGACGGTTAATCCGGAACGGATTAACCTCACTATGCGGGGCACCACTGTATTGCTTGTAAATTCCTAAGATTACCTTTTTTAATTAATTAATTAGTTTTAAATAATTTTGTTTCAATTTAACAAGCAAATTGCTTTAAATCCAGTGTTCCATCCTGGTTCTATTAAGAAAATGATGTTTGGAAAACACCTAACAGTGACATATCCTTCATTCCCCAAACTCAGTTATCATCCGCCATTGCCTCACCTACCTGAATCCCAGTAGTTTCCTTTTACTCTCTTTCTCTTAATACACTGTTTTGAAGAGGTGAAGCAAGAAAAACAATGCTTAAAACTTGATTTATTAAAATATGTTAAATTTCTGCTCTCAGTTATGATTGACATTTGTTTCCCCTATCTATATAGTTCCTTGATTGTTGCAGCTTGTAATTGTAAAAATATAATATGTGCTATAAGGAATTAAATTGGTGCAGTTATTTTATTTCATTTCTGAAACATGGGCTGAAATTTGTTATGCAAGTAGAAGGTAAATGGCATATTATTTGCTTCTCATCAGTGATTAAAGAGCCCCTATTGGGATTCTCAAGCTCATGCCAAGCTAGTGGGTGTTTGCAACCTCCCCCCCTCCAAAGAATTGCAGCAACTGTCTCTCTTATGTGACCTGGAAACAAGTGAATCTTCATACTGTTTGTCTCCCAACTGTGTAACAAAATAGCATTTCAGTCATTGTGTCATGTACATATGAGAAAAGGAAGCTCTACAAATGTATGGAAATTATGGAAATATTTTTTTTCTCTTAAGTAAACCATTCTACAGCTTTTTGATGTGTGTTTCACTATGATTTTAATAGTTACCAATACCAATCATTGTTGGAAAATAGCAAAAGGACACTGTTTGATAAATAATTCTATGTTTTTAAGATATTGCTCTTACTTTTTCAGATGAAGGGAACGAAACTGAGGTTCAGTCACAGCCAAATAGTCAGCTAATATGGAAGCAAGGACGGCAGTTACTGAGACAGTAAGTAATCTAAAAGTTGAATTCATTTTGTTTCTTTTTCATTGCAGCACTGTTTTGTGGCTGTCCATTTTCTCAGTACTAGGGGCTCTAGAGAGATGCAACCTTAAATGGATTTCTATAATTTATCTGGAAATTTAATTTAATTTAAATTTAGGGGACGTGGTGGTGCAGCGGGTTAAACCGCAGAAGCCTCTGTGCTGCAGGGTCAGAAGACCAGCAGTCGTAAGATCGAATCCCCGCAGTGGAGTGAGCTCCCATCTCTTGTCCCAGCTCCAGCCAACCTAGCAGTTTGAAAGCATGTAAATGCAAGTAGATAAATAGATACCGCCTTGGTGGGAAGGTAACGGTGTTCTGTGTCTAGTTGCGCTGGCCACGTGACCACGGAAATTATCTTCAGACAAACGCTGGCTCTATGGCTTGGAAATGGGGATGAGCACCGCCCCCTAGAGTCGAACACGACTGGACTAAATGTCAAGGGGAACCTTTACCTTTACCTTTAATTTATCTATGCCTTTACCAGTATTTACCCAAGGGCATTGTCATCTGGTCTCTGGCTGTGACTGTTTGAGAGCATAAATGCTACAGCAGCATTCCTTTTAAACCAAGCAGGGTAAAGGTAGGGAGGCCTATTCTGTTTGCTGCTTAATTGAAATTCCTCACAGCAGCTTCTGGCCATTGATCCATTTATGCCAGTGAAATCATTCATGAGATATGCCATTCGTATGTATTGGTGTGGAGCAGGGAGAGAAGTATTCATGGTTTAACAAGTCACAACTAGTGTAGGCCCAGTGAATCAGTGGGGATTTGGTGAGTCAGCTTGATTAGGCCCATTTGAATTCATGGAACATATGGAGGAGTGTCACTTACTATGCTAAGATACAGGATTTTTAGCCAGTGTGTCAAATTATTGGTCTATTTAATTTAGCCTTAACTAGTGTGCCCCCCTCCAGATCATTTGGATTATGGTTTCCATGGTTTCACAGTATGGCCTATGGTAAGAGAATAATGGGAACTGTAATTCAAACTATCTGTTAAGGCATTGAGTTTGGAACTAATATTTCGCTTTATATCATGTACATTGACAGCAGTCTTTCCTGTCCTTAGCAGGAATTGCAAGGGGTTGAATCTGAGTCTTCTTGCATGTACATGTTCAGGCCCCCTGAGCTATGGCCCTTAAAGATAACAAACCCGTGATGAAAGTGAATATAATATTGATCTAAAATTGATTTATGTATTGAAAAATATTCTGTGAGATTGAGATGTATTAAGTAATGTTATGGATGTGAATCTACAGTAGCTGAGTGTAAATGAGACATCTAGTGAGCAGCTTCTCTTCTTCTCCCTCCGTTCACCCCCTTGCACATGCTCAAAATCTGCTCTAGAACATCCCTTAATCTCCTGGAGTACTGTATATATGTAGTATGTGCAGAGAGGGCAGAGTTCCCCTTTTCTTTCTATTATGCTGATGGAAGCTGATTTTTTAATGAGGGGACTAATTGGGTACACCGCTATGGCAGTACATCTTCCAGATATTTCTTACTCTGGGTAACACAGACTTTTCGTTCAGATATTGTTCATCCAGAGACAGTGTGTGTGTGTGTGAGAGAGAGAGCAAGCTAAGAGACAATGCATTTTTGTACAATGTGCAGTTTTAATAAAATTGGAATTCTTATAAAACTTATTTAAGGCTTTGATCTCTGGAACTCATTGTGGGAAGTTTATGGGTTCCATTCAAACTGTTGTTTCCAGAATCCTACTGAAGGAAAGGAAGGGAAACAGGAAGCAGTTTTTGCTTACTTCCCTTTTCTCAATGCAAGCCACTGCCTCTAATAAGCCTGTACCCGTCCTAGGTTCTCCTGAGCAGTTTTGCAGTGGGCTGCAGGAGAAATGAGGTATTTGCAAAAATTGTATCTCCTTGTACCTGATTTCAGTTTACAGGAGCTCTAGATATTTAAATATTCAGTAGTTAAAAAAGAATGGTGTGATTGAAAAGTTGTGCAGCATTTCTCCTTTTGGTTAAGTATAATGAATACTGTATTCATATATACATGGACAGCAAAGCTCTTCCCTATTCTTGGTGACTCTAGAGACTGGTACTGCAAGAGACAGCTGGTACAAGATGATTTGTAAGCCTGTTGTGTCAGCACACAGCCACATTCTTCTTCGTACCACTTAAGTGTTGATCACTTCTGGGTGGCTTGCAGATATTGACTGTAACATTTTGGCAGCTCCTGAGCAACTGATATGGTTCCTGTTCACACAGATACCTTCAAGAGGTGGGATACACGGACACAATATTGGATGTGAAGTCAAAACGGGTACGGACTTTGTTGGGTCTTTCAGGTGGTGGTCCTGAGAGGGAAAATGATAAAAATCAAGAATCAATGGTGAATGGCACAGATGCTGAAGTTAAAGAAAAAGTAATGATTGGGTAAGTATTTTTGAAGAGTGGAGTAATCCCAATAGTGCAACTTTTGCTTTTAAAGAAATCTACTTAAGTAAAAATTCTCAGTGCTGACATACTATTATAGTATGCCATTCAAAGACTGTGCATAAGGGAGCAAGACAGTACTTTGGGTCTCTCCTTTTTTTTTGTAATCTTTCTCTTTGTTCTGTATTGTATAACATGTAAATTATGTATTGAACATTTAATCTTTTAGATTTGTTATTTAGCTTATTAATGGGTTCTTTACTAAGAGGCTCTAGTCATTACACTCAGTTGAGTTTTTAATTTGCCTGCTTATCAGATAGATAATGTACAAATTTTGAAAGGAGCGCTCTGTCCTGCTATGTTACCTGGTTGTTGCTTACCTGCCAGTATGTCATTACAGTAATTCTGTGCATTCCCATAATACAAGTGTTAGATAGCTTCTGTTAATTAGCTTAGAACAGATACAGATTGAAGACAGAAGGATAGTTAATTAGTTTGCATGCGGAACTCAGAATTAATGAACTCTTTGTTTACATATTCTTTTATTTTTCTTCTGGGACAACTCTAATAAAGGGAAAGTGCTCTGACTTACTGCTGTCACAGTAGTAAGTGCAAATCAGCAAGTGCCATACAAAAGCATCCATCATGGAAACATATGTTTAAAAGCAAAGCTCATTTGCTGCTTCCCAGAGTGATGTAATTGTGACATAATAGTTCCTTAGAGAAAAGTTACTTGTTCTGTTGCTGGAACTTTTTACACAAGCTAATGTATTTGCTAATGTACAGATTCCAATGACAACTTTTACGTTCAAGACCATCAAGTGACTTGGGATGCATCCTGGAAGATTTCAAGGCCATCAGTGGAAACATTGTTTTGATAGTTTGACAGATATACCTAGTGATAGTTACACATGTTTCATTATGTTTAATGAAAGAAATGTTACACTTCAAATCTCCACACTACTTTTAGAAAAGATAAGTACCACAACTCAGCATGACGTAAGCAAAGAGTGCTAAACATTTAACCTTTGTATTAACATGTAATATTTTCAGTGTTTGCTGTGGATGTAAAAGATGCATTTTGCCATTAACGTTTTGGGTAAAATAAATGCAACAAATGAAACAGCTTCATTAGAGTGAACATAGCCTATTTTAATCCAGTGCTTTATTTTAATAACATTTATTTTCCCTTTTGCAAGTTAAGTAAAAAAATGACATTGCATTGTTTGCTTTCTGATCTATAATGTGCAATAATAAAGCCCCAAACACTTGATTTTTAAATATTTTTTAAAAATTACCTTTAATGAAGGAGTATCATTGTAAAGAATCTACATCTTGTGAGGCAATATATTTAAGATGTTTTTTCCAAGCCATAAGTGCTTACCTGTAAATGTTTTTCAGATGTCTTGCAGATTGACATAGTGTGACATTTCAATAGGTTTTACAACTGATGAAGACTGTTAGATGACTAAACCTCAAACAGACAACTCTGCAAAAAATTCATAATGTGCATGTGTTGATACAAGTATTTAGATGTAATGACTTGTGAAGGAACTTTGCAATAAATAGCCATATTACGTGAAAACTTCCTTTAACACAAACAAAACTGAGTTTGAGCTTTAAAAAAACTTGCATTTTCTTTGCTAAATATTCTCTAGATCAGGCATTAGATATGACTAAGGATGGGTTTTGCATATGTATCACTGAATCTTTCCAATGTTTAATCTTTTTCACATCATTTGTGATTATGATCCCTTTGGCTTGAACACAGTAAAACATTTAATATGAGCAAAATACACTTTCAGTAATCCAGGGGAGGAAACTTGGATTTTCACTGATTTTCTTCATGTACATGCAGCCTCCTATGTTACGTAAGATTTTGAAGGATCCTCTGAGGCTCTGAAGTTGTCACAGAGAGCTCAATGGGCCAGAGGAAACAAGAAAACATATCTGCAAATAAGACATTGCTTAGGGTTTTTAGGACTAAAGGACTGTTTTCCTCATTTCTTATCCCTACTTTTTATTGCTACATCTTGTTCTGGATCCCAGCTGGTCAGAGATTATGTTGTAAATGAGAGAACATCAAATCACTGGTTAGATATAGCTATAGTATAATGCTGTGAAGCCTGTTCAAAGTGCAGATCATGTTTTCTGCCCACATGCTGAATTGCCTTTTTGATGATACCATGTGGTAATCTGATGACTATGTGACAACATCATGAAGTGAATACGGAGTATAGTCTGGAAGTGGTTTGCATTCTGAAAGGGTGCCAGGAAGCGAGCTAGGCTGCAAGCATATTTGGCTTTGTTCATAGTTTTCATCTTTTAAGTTTTGTCAAAAATGACACACTTTCAAAATGGAGATGAAAAATCCATGGAATTTCAGTCTCTTTCCCTCTTTCCTGTTTTGGTTCAGTCCTTTTTGAAACTTTTTAAAAAAACAAACAACAACAACAACAATAACAACAAAAAAGTTTTTAGAAAACAAACAACAACAACAACAAAAACATAAGAATATAAATCCCAAGGGCTGAGTTTGCATACTTATTGCCCAGGAGCACTGTTAGGACTTAGGCTGGTGAATTGATTTGTATTCCAGAAAGTAGAAAGAATAAAGGTTGTAAAACTGTCAGATCGTTTCTGCCCCATCCCTCTGTTGTTTTACAAATTGTGGTATCTGTAGTCCTCCCTCACATATCTCCAGATCTGCATTAGACAACAAACTGCACAGAAAACAAACCATGGCTAGAAATGTCCTCACATATGTGATGGCGTAAGGGTGATCATGTAGTATCCCCTCCACCAAGAGGCTCATCTTCGTTACATCGGCTGTGTACCTATGCAGAGTCAGGTGCATGGCTGATTGTGCAAAGGGAGGCTGGCAGGAGGGCAAAAACCAGTGTGTAATTGCCCTTGTTTGCACCGTTTTTCTCCAATTTGATTTTAGTCCATAGAACTGAAATTGCAGTTTTAATAGAAATAATTATAAAGGAGATGTAACGAGGTGATGTAGTAATCCACATTTGCTCTGTACAATAAACAGTAAGTAAGTTCTGGAGTGCTAATGATAGTCTTGAACAGTACAGTGACGCCTCGCAAGATGAATGCCTTGCGCAACAATCTGGAGTGATAATGATGGTCTTGAACAGTACAGTGATGCCTCGCAAGGTGAATGCCTTGCGCAACGAAAAACTTGCAAGACGAAAGCATTTTGCGATTTTTTTTGGTGACTCGCAAGACAAATTTTTCTATGGCTGTGCTTTGCAAGTCGAATAGGATCGCATTAATTAAATTTCAGTGCATTCCTATTCGAATAGGACCGCATTAATTATATTTCGGTGCATTCCTATGGGAAACCATGCTTTGCATATGAAATGATTCTCGCAACAAATTATTTTCATCTTGTGAGGCATCACTGTAGTTTCCAACCATGAGTAATCAAGATCGTCTTTGACTGGAGCTTCCAGAAACCCTGGCCATCATGGCTAGTGGTAAAAACTTCTGGCAACTGCAGTCCAAGAACACCTTAACTAACAAAGGCTGGGAAGCTCTGGTGTAGGACTCTTAATTTTAAAGGATATAAAATAAGACATCTTGATTTTATTTTGTACAGTGGTGCCTCGCTTAACGATGTTAATTGGTTCCCAGAAAAACATCACTATGGGAAAACATCGCTAAGCGAAACACCATTTCCCATAGGAATGCATTGAAGCCTATTCAATGCATTCCAATGGTTTTGACAGGTCCGTTTTCGCTATTTTAAGTGTGTCTTAAAATGTTCAAAAACATTTGACAGCTGTCAAACCTACAGTTCAGTGCATTCCAATGGGGGGAAAATTCACCAAAAATTAACGAAGAGTCAGAACAAAGCCAACAAGATGCACTAATGATCCCGAGCATTTAAAACAGCTTTTGAACATTTTAAGACACTTTAAAAATAGCGAAAACCGACATCGCTAAGCGAAACGGGGACCTAAACTGTCATTGCTGAGTGAGGCAAGGTCCCAAACATCTCTATGCGAAATTTCCCCATAGGGAACATCGCTAAATGGAGTGCAAAATCGCTCCAAAAACCTCATCGCTAAGCGAATACATCGTTAATTGAGGCAATCGCTAAGCGAGGCAGCACTGTATTTAAATCTGATTTTCAACATTCTCATTCAGTGTATAGATGATAAACATAAGCTTCATTTAGAAGCACTTTATTTTGCATAGTTTCTTTGGAAATATGTATAAAAGGGGTTCAGAATGTGTTCATAATGTAAAACTCACTGTTTAGCGCAGCAAATACAACCCCATTACACAATTTAGTTTCACAGTGTTACATAATTGCAATCCATCTATTGAACAATTATACATACCTCTAGATATGTATATCTACTTGTGGTGGTAAGTAGAATCATCCATGCATAGGCATTTTCAGGCATATATGTATGAATAAAACTACAGTGCAATATTTCTACGATATGATAGTGGCTATCTGCAAAAAGAAATATATTAATTGACTGTGTGTGCATTCTCTACACTTTAAGACACTTCTGCACTTTTCTTGTAATTGTATACATGCTTACTTAGGAGTAAGACTCACTGAACTCAGTAAATGTACATAGGAATCCATTGTTTTGATAACCTATTAGTGTGCATGAGAAGAGTATTGGAAATGGTACCTTTGCTTATTTTCAGTGGCAGCGGACTTTGCTTGGGCCTGTTTACTATCTTCCAAAATAATATTGAGTGACATGACATTAATGAACATTCTTTTCTTGTGTTTCTGTTTCCTGTAATATAAGAGAGATACAATGAGAGAGAAACTGATTTGCATGCCCTGTGATAGCCATATAGATTTTTATGAGTCATCAGGGTATACTGCAAAATATATACATGAAAATGCAATATAGAAATATGATGTGCCAGTTCTTCTAATTTGAGTGTTACCCAACAATTGTGAATAAAATTAAGTGAAGCCTTGATTATGAAAGGCTTGTTACTTGAAAACGATCTGTATTTTCAAGAAAAAGGTCACTGAAACTCTGATCTAGCAAAGAATTCTGTATTATGTATAAAAATTTCTGAATTTTCCACCAGCTATGTATGTTTTTTTCTTTTTACTGTCTGGACCATGAATTTAAGGATTGCAAAGCGTGTGGAAATTTGGTAGCTTCATGGACCAAAATATTCAGTAAATATACAGGTTTCGACAGCTATAGTGGTTGTGGCATCAGTTATTGACTTGTTGCCTACAAAGATCTCTTTCTTCCATATTGGAAAAAGTGAGACCCAGAAAGATATTTCTGGTTTTTTTTGAAGTCTGAAGTAGTAATCTATTTCATCTCAAGACTTAAATGTCTGATTACATTAGTTAAGGCATTTCTCTGCAGTCTCCAAACAAAAAGAAAAGGTTTGCAGAGACAAAAGTAAGAAGTTTGGTGCATCTGTTTAGTAACAGAAATATTGGCTAGCCTCTTAAAATATAGGGGTTCACATTATTTCATTTCCAGAAACTTGGTAGCACTGTGTGTTTCCATTTTAAAGCAAATTCTGTTTTTGCATTAGATACCAAAATATACTAATTAAAGTACTAATTAAAACAAAGTAAATAAATAGTACACAGTAGCCTTTATATGAATGGATGGTAAAAGCTGATTTTGAGGAGGTGCAGGGGAAAGAATCATCATCAAATCTTACCTTTTCCCTACTTCTCCATGAGATTGGAATCCTCTTCACTGATTTAGGGATTAAATCCAATGTGTATTGTTCCTAGTTGTTACTGTCCAGTACTATATAACTGTACATTTGAAAATGTAGATCTAGTGGAAAAATAATTCACTTTTAAAAGGCTAACCCAATGTTCTGCTGGTGGAACCTTCAGAAGCTTCCTACAGCCCCCCACATCTCCTGAAAATCAGCTTGTGGATTTCCCAGTCTTCCAGAACTGATTTTTCTGGTACTTGGTTGGGGAGGGTTGTAGTAGATAAAGAGAATCAACACTTTCCCAGTTCTGCTCTACTGTGCTGTTTCTCCATTGGGATCCTGCCCAATTTATTTTGCTATATTGCATTTTATAAAGCACAGTAAAGCAAGGAAAGACATAGTAACTTATGTTGCCCTTTTTCATCTAGGAAACCAGATCTGACAGATTCTGCCTCTCTGCTGGAGACATTCAAATTCCTTGAAAATGCCGCAGCAGAATTTAGTGATGAAGATGAAGATGATTATATTGATGGAAGAGAGAGAACAATCATGGACACTTCAACGGTGGGCTGAGAACTCTAAAAGTAAAATAAGACTTGGAGTGGTGATATCTGTATTTATATGTCAAATCTGTAGATATCCTTATGTGTGGGTTAAGTGCAAGGACTGTAGCACATTTCATCTGCAAATCAGTCTGACAAAATTCTTGGTATGAGAATTGAGATCTTTCCATTTTGGATAATTTCTCTGTTCAATAAATCTCTGTGTTCCCGTGTGTGTTGAAGAGAGAGTGGCTCACACACAAACTGGAACCTATGTTAGTAATGATAAGTGAAGGAGTGATGAATTTCCTATCACCTCTTCAGCAATTAGAAGCTCATCACCTCTGAGATCTATGTTTAAATTATGCAAATATGAATTTTATGATTCTTTGTTATATATTAGTACAGTTAAGGTTTAAACTGCAAAGTGACAGAGATCCTTCTGGTATGTCTCTCCCCCCCCTGCATTTTACTTGTGCAGAGGACAAAAAGAACATTTATATGATTGCTTAATTTTATATTCTGCTCTTCACAGATTGTAAGGAAAAGAGTGGTGTCTGATAACAGTGAAGACAAAGATACTGAAGAAGCACTGAAGGAGTTTGATTTCTTGGCTACATCAGATGAAGGGGATGGAGAATCCAGAAGTTCAGGAGATGGTACAGACTGGGGTAAGGAAGTGAAAAGAGATACTCCAGAAATACAGGACCTTCTCTAACAGGAAAAATTTATATTGAGACTGCAGTATCCTTAGGGAAATGATACTGTAGTGTCTGTGTCTTTTCTGACACAGGCGCTACGATATCCTTTCTCTAAGGATACATTGTCAGATTCCAATTTTTGTCTATTTTCTGTGTAAAAGAAACGGTTCTGTCTGTAACTACAGTCTATCGCTTAAATTAGTGGCTGTGACTAGGCAAGGTGTGGACAACTTTCAGTGATCTCTGGACTATTGTTGCCCTTATTTGACATGGTTGCATAACCCCTTTGACAGCTTTTCTCAAAGCAACAAAAATGTTTGTCCCCCCCCCCCCAAGATTGCATAACCCCTTTGACAGCTTTTCCCAAAGCAACAGAAATGTTTGTTTCCTCCCCCCCCCCCAATGCAAACCATAGCCCCTGGAGGCCTTGAGGACTACAGTTTATACTATTCACCTGTACTTTCCCTTTTGTGGCCTGCAATCTGGGCATATGTGTTCATATGTTTGTGTGCGAAATTATATGTACACTTAGCATTTTTAGATTTATGTTGTTTCTAGATTTGGGGAGATTGAGGGAGAGCTAATAAGGATTTCAGAGTAACTGGGCGTTTTGGAGAACTGTGTGCTGCCTGCAGGCTCATTTTACCAAACTATGCTCTAGACCCTATTTTATAGAGAAGAGATTCTGTGGTTCTTTCCTCTTGGGATGTTACTAAAACATAAAGCAAAAACTGTTAACTTTTAAAGTATGCAGCATATAAAATGTCTTAATCACATAAAATATAGAGGCTCACTGTGAACTAGGGTAAGGAACAGTATTAAAATAGCATAAGTACTGTAATGCAATTATCAATCTGTACCTCACAGCGATAGACCAAGGAGGAAGTTTTAGAACTATTGGATAGCTCAGTGGTTTTTGGTAGAGGTTGAGATTTTGATTCCCCTCTGTGCTTCTTTGACTCCATAGAGTCCCTTCCAATTCTGCAGTTCTAAGATATTATTATTATTAAAAAGTTTTCTTATACAATGGTGCCTCGTAAGACGAGCGCTTCGTTTAACAAAGAAATTACATAACGAAGAAGTTTCCTACGGGGTTTTTTTCACTGCGATGATCGGTTACCTGCTTCGCTAACCAATTATTGCAAAACGAAGATTTTCGAACAGCTGATCGGCAGTTTCAAAATGGCCGCCAGGTAAAAACATGGCCGCCCACTGTTTTCTGGGACGGATTCCCCGCTGTACAGGCAGCGAAAATGACCGCGCTATGGAGGAACTTCGCTGGACAGTGAGTTTCAAGCCCATAGGAACGCATTAATTGGGTTTTAATGCATTTCTATGGGCTTTTTAAAATCGCTTTACAATGTTTTCGTTCTACAGTGATTTCGCTGGAACGAATTAACATCGTAATGCGAGGCACCACTGTATTACACTACATGTGTTATAATTAGACATAGGCCAATCCTCCTTGATATCTTAGTCTTTGTGTCAGACTAGGCTGCTGAGTTCATTTTCATTGGTGTTGTCATCAGATGGGAGTTTGACATACAGTGTGTGATTACCTCTCTCCCTTTACCGACACTGAAGTAAAATTATTCTCCTATTTGTCTTGCAAGACTGTTTAATTTGGTCTACCTCAGTTACAAGTTCCTTTCCTATATGTTGGTTCAGCCATCGTAGTCATATGTAAATAAATAAATAAATGAACATAATCTATTCCAGTCATCTTGTCATCTAGTCATGTTTAAAATTAATCTAGTCTTTTCACTTTGCATATATATGAATTTCACATAACATGTCTGGAATGGCATTTTTGTTTTCTTTTCCCCAACCAAACACAGATAGTTTGAAATGGGGATTTAAAGAGTGCTTTTGTCTTTATAGCCTGTCTCTAATATCTCATCATATTAACCAACCTATTAAGAGATTTTCTTGTAATCCAAGTTTTCATATCTTTTGTTGTTCCAGGGCAGCAGTTTTTTCATACATTATTTAATTTTTGTTATAATTTTTGTTTTTTACTTTGGAGCATTCATTTCTGTACCATTTGTGTGCTGGCTCTTGCCTATTCCAGCTCCATCACAATTAGCCATTTGCCCTTGCAGTTTCTGTAGCTGGCAGGATGGATGCTGCTCTGCTATCAATTCACTTTCAATTTATGGTGACCATTGGAACTAATGATTTCCAGTAGGTCCTACCACTAACAGCCCTGTTCAGAATTTGCAAACCAAAGGCCATAGTTATATTTAGTGAATCCATTTAATATTAGTTCTTTGTCTTTTTTTATTGCCTTCCCTTTTTCCTACAGTTATTGTCATTTCCAGTGAATCATTGCTTCTCGTACTAAGTCAAAAGAATTATAACCTTAGCTTAGTTATTTTGTTATCTAATGAGCATTCATACTTGATTTTATCTATAAACCATTTATTTGTCTTTCTGGAGGTCCATGATACCTGTAAAGGTCAAGTGAATTTGTGTTTTTCTTGTCGCCTTTCTTCGCTGTCCAGCTTTCACAATAGTACATTGGAATTGAGAGTTGTATAGTAATGATGATATTGGCCGTTGTCTCTAGTGACATGTCCTTGCACTTAAGGATCTTTTCTAGTTCCTTCATACGATATTGGCCATTGTCTCTAGTGACATGTCCTTTCTAGTTACTTCATAAAGGACTTCTAAGTCTCAGATTTTTTGGCTATATTCTCCATTTTGATTGATGATTGAACCAAGATAATAAAAAATTGTTAATTATTTCTATGTGTTCATTATCAGCATTAAAGGTATGTAATTCATTAAAAACATGACAGTTTTGTAATGCCACACAGCCATTATTATTTTATCCTGTATTGTTGTAAACTCTGCATTTCTTTCCACATTATTACCCATGTGCTCTGTGACAATCACACATTGTTGCCTTACACTCTGGACTCTCTCACCTCTGTTTTGCTGAACATGCTCTACTCCATTCTGTCCATTTCTCACCAGTTCATTTTAGAGACATAGGTTGAATCCATGGCTTCTGCCCATACACTTTGATAGCCAGTCATGTGCATGTTTTCTCTGAAGTCCCACTGAATTCATTGGCACTTAGCCTGTTCAAGTGTGCACTGACTTAAAGTTTGAAAGAAGAGATTTCTGACACCAGTATTCAGTACTGAGAATCTTCTGTATGCTGGTTAATGTTTTACTCACATAGCAAAATGTCTTTTAAAATACTGGAATGTATAACTTTAAAAGAATCATTTAACTCAGTTGTACTATCACTTGAAATATTTAATTAGTAACAACAATGAATTATGCCAAGTCAAGATTGCCATTTCCATTACTGTGCTTGATAATAGCAGTTGGCTTCTTTCTGTGATTCTGGCACGGGATGGAAATATACTGTTTCATAGAATCTGACAGAACTAGCAGCAGTTCTGTAGCCCTAACACAAACTCAATATGTTGGCATCAGGGCAAGTAGTATGGAAGCCTACACTTTTTCCCTATCAGCTCCATGGTACAGTGGTGCCTCGCTTAATGATTACCTCGTTAAACGACAAAACCCCTTTACGATGAAGTTTTTGCGATTGCAATACCGATCGCAAAACGATGTTCCTATGGGGAAAATCGCTTAACAATGATCAGTTCCCTGCTTCGGGAACCGATTTTTCACTAGACGACTATTTTAAAACAGCTGATCGGCAGCTCTATAATGGCTGCCTGCTGTGCAAAATGGCTCACCGCTGTGCTTTAGGACAGATTCCTCGCTTTACAGGCACCAGAAGATCGCCGCCCTATGGAGGATCTTCGCAAAACGAGCAGGTATTTCGCCCATTGGAATGCATTGAACCAGTTTTCAATGCATTTCAATGGGTTTTTAAAATTTCGCTTGACAAGGATTTCACTTAACAGCGATTTGAACGGAATGAATTATCCTCTTTAAGCGAGGCTTCACTGTACTAGAAGCAAAGAGTGCTGTTCTGAGGCTTCATTGTAACAGACACAATTTAATAAACACAGACTGTGTGTCGCAAATGTCTTCCTAAACCAAAGGTTCAGACCAAATTTAAAGTGAGAATGTTGTTTCGTATAATTTAGGAATGTGAGGTGTGCTTTCAGATGGATTCTTCCCAACTTTGTGAAATCTGAGTTAGTATTTGGGGAAATAATGTGCTTGGATATACCTTGAAGCTTACTTTCAGATTGTACATACCATGATTGTATCATGGATTGCAAAAGAAAAGATAATGAGAAAGAACAGATAACGTGTTTTTTTTTTGTGGAACCATGATTGTATCTTGGATTGTAAAAGAAAAGATAATGAGAAAGAACAGATATTTTCCAGGAGTGGTAAATGTGAAACAGAAAAGTATTAAGAATATAGTTGTGTATCTTCTGTTGCCTTTTGCTGATATAGTATATCCTAATTTGAACTGAATAAATGAAAGCATAGGTATTCTTTCTTAAGTCTTTCAGATGTTCAGATGTGGTCTTTTATTTTGGGCTATCTTGCATAATAAAAGAGAAACCCAGTCAGAAGTAAATGTGTGTTCAAACACTCTAGTTGTAGGTGAAGACGACAAAATATAAAGTGTTCAAAGTACTTATAATTTGAAAGGAAAGAGTATTTGCACTAATACTTGAATAATGTGTTGGAGAAAGGAATGGGACATCTAGAGTCCTGTCCCCACACCCACTGAACAAATGAAATAGAATGCTACTCAGGACCAGACCAGTATGTGTCTTCATGTGTTGGGTCCATTTACTTGTAAAACAGAGGCAAGGAACTGAAATAGGTTTGAAATAGTTCCAGTAATGAGCAAGATGCCTTTTCTTGTCTTGTACTGTACTTTAGCTATTCAAAGTAGTTGCTTGCTTCAGCAACTTTTTTTTCCATTTCCAGCCCTGTCTGAGAATGGAGAAGAGTAGATGAAGCAACACTAATGGAAGTGTGGTGTGGAAGAGAGAAAAGTGTGGGGTTTCTCCTTCATATACAGTACTGTACTCTTATTCTTTTAGACACCCTCCCTTTTCTTTTTGAACTGGATGAATGTGTGAGAAATGTATGCCTACTCATTCCTTTGGGCCTTGAAATACTTTTTATTGTTGATGTTAAAAAATGTATAGATCAGCAATTGCTACCTTCTTCACTACAAGAAAAAAATAAATAAATGACATAAAGAGGATGTTTCATTTGTTTTACTTTGTCTAGAAAAGGAAGACCAGTGTCCCATGCCCGAAGCCTGGAATGTGGACCAGGGAGTAATAACCAAACTGAAGGAACAATACAAAAAGGAGCGCAAGGGAAAAAAGGGGGTGAAGAGTAAGTGGAAAACATTGCCCCTTAAATTCATAAATCCTGCCTCTACTTCACCAGTACTATCTTTCTTTCAATGTTTTCCTCAAACTACTTACTCTTTTACTTTGCTGCTCCTGACTGCTTTCCTGTTCACAGTTACAAGGAGTGGAAATTAATGCTACTTTACTTCTGAGAGGGAATACTGCTTTTATCCAGTTGGATAAAGTAAGGTGGAAATATTTCTGAGATATCAATTAATATAGATATGTGGGGGGGGGGGGACAGGGGCACCACAATACACTACTTGCTAAGGTTTGTCCAAACCAGCCAATTTTGCATGACTTCTGTATTTAGTCATGCTATGGACAAGTTATGCAATCCAGTACTTCATTGCATGATTTGTCCTGCTCTGTATTTCTCAGATTCTTTGTGTGGAAGTTACCACTTAAGTAAATGGGTACTGATCTCCCCACCCCCACGCCCTTTTAAAAAGGTGATTAATTTGTTTCTGCTAATTTACAATAGACCACCAGAACCAGGTTCAGTTATTTGGATGTACTGAGCAATGGTTTGGATTGCTTGTTTCTTGGATAATAGGCCCAGACTATGCATAACAAAAATAATTTAAATTGAAGGGGATAGAAAAGCCATTTGTGACGCTACAGTATAATGATTCAGTTACAGTGGACAAGTACATTGGTTAAATGGAGTTGCTGTTTAGATCTCATTTCTTGTTACATGCCTAATGGGACTCATGATACACCTTACCCTAAATGAAGCAAGCAGGATTGTGTGATGGTATAAATTTTTCTGTCCTATGGAGTAAATTCACATTTTTGTTGGGGAGTACATGTGTATGGTAGGGGTGAGGAACCCTTGGTTCTCTGGATATTGGGGCACTCTGACCCATCAGTCCCTGGCAGCATGACAGTCTGTGCTGGTTGATGTTGTACTCCAACAAAATCTGCAGGGCCACAGCTTTTGCAGCTTTGATTTGGGTTTGTACGATACCTCTATGCATCTAGCAGTGTTCTAGACGGGGGGAGGGGGGATTTGTATCTATACTGAACAGCCTAAAAATCAAAATGTAAACAATTACAACCTAGAATCTTTGGTCTGGACATACCCTTAACCAGTAGTGGAAGACAACAAATTAATTTCTGCTCTTATTTATATTTAATGTTTGCTACATGCAAATCATGCTGTCCTCATAGCTTGATTGCAGGGCTCGAAATCAGAAAAAAAGCCTTATTAGGCTTTTATTAAAAATACTCAGTCCTCACCAAATATCACTTTATTCAGTTCAGTGCTGTCTTACATTAGGAGAATTGGATCTATATTTGAAATGTAATTTCTAGCCCTGTGTACCATATTCTTTTCCATTTTACATCTCTTAAGATAAAAATCCATTATGTGAAAACGGTGCTTCAAATAATGCAATGCATCCTTTTTATGTGTTTAATATAGAATTCACATATTTATATTTCATACACAACAGGTGTGTTCTGTGAATAAATGTAGGAATGACATGAAACCATTGTGCTTTCTTATGGTAAAAGAGTAAATACATTTTGATGAATATGCAGTGTAACTGAATTGCTATACAAATACAAAACAATGCACATAGATTGGGGTATTGTTGAGCGATCAGAATTTACAGGTAAAATTGCAGAAGGCACTTTGGATACTAAGAATGTAGAGGAAGGGGTATCCCACTACTTTGTTTCTCAGATCTTGGTGTGCTCATTCATTGTTTGTCTACAAACTTGTGAAGGAGGACTCTTTGCACCAATTTACCATGAGGTTCCACTGTGTGCCATGCTAGTCTTTCAAGTGTGATATCTGGCAAGTTGTATGAATATTTCCTAGAATTGTTAGCAGTTTCACTCAGAAGAGAAGTCCTCTTCCTTGATTGTTTTGAGAGTGCTGAAGCATCACCAGCTTTGCACTGTTCGTAGCATTATGCTGAGTACTGAAAAGAGGGATGGGAATTAATTATATTGGGATTTGTTAATCCTGGTTTTCGGTTATGAGGATGCACTCACTGCCCTTTAACAAAAGCAACAAGTAATTTGTACCCGGAGCTGTTATCTTGCCTTGAAAACTATTCCTTCAAAATTTATATATTGTGCCTCCCCTCAATATATAACTTGAGGTTTGGCCCCTTTTTTTGGAGCTATTTCTGCTGTATCATGACAGCTTCCCACCTTTTGCTTTATTTGTAAATAGCAAGCCTACGTCAGCTAATCCAAATGGGTTAGTAAGAGGAAAGTTACCAGGCTAAAGAAGGCTTTAAAGTGGAGCAGATGAATCTAACCATTCCCCCCAACATGTACTTCAGAAAGGATATTGTCACTCCTGTTCTAATATTTAGATCCAAAGGAGATTTTCTTACTCCTGTTTCTCAGTAACTGTGATATTAGTTAATAAAAGTTCTTTATCAGATATCCTGTTTTTATGGGCAAAGTTGATCCCTTGCTCATCTTCCATGCCATGTATGTATCCCACAATTTGGGGTTCATGTCAATGAATGTTTCATGTAATCCCTCATTAAAGTATAAAACATGAGTGTCTAAGGTTATGGCGTGGCTGTCAAAAAAATACCACAGACTGCAGGGTTGTAGATTCTCTAGAATATGGGGCTTGTACAGTTCTCTGTGTTTGCATACATTGCACTGGCAAGAAAATCAGCTAAAAAGGTGGCTTGTATCCAGTGTTTGAGCAAGTGGAAGACATGTTCTGCAGCAGATCTTTCTTCATTCCTCCTTCTGGCAGCTCTGAATATTTATACATTGCAGGCTCAGAGATTTAAGATTCTGTTGCCTGATTTTGAGCAGTTTCTCCTCTGTATACAGCCCAAACTATTCACATTGCTTTCTACTTTTGCAACCATTAGACACAAGCTCTGGACATAGTCCTCTGATTTTGTTCCCTCTCTAAAATTGCAAGAGCTGGGGAATTGCCAGTCACCTGGCAGGCAGGTCTGTGCTGGTTTGATAGGTGAGAAGCTGCTAAATTCAGGCTAAAGCATAGTTGCCTACAGGAATATGGTTACATTCATGAGAGCTGAGTACTTGGCACAATGCTGGATCACCACTGCTATACAAATTGCCTTATTGCCACTGATGTAAAATAAATAAAATTGGAATTTAAAGTGAAACTTTTTTTTTACCATTGACTAGAAATTACTAGATACATTGTGTAGAACCAGCACAGCTCTTTCTGCACCTAAGGCTAAATACTGTAAACATGTGAACAAGAATAATGCTTCCATCGCTGACTTTAGTGATATGACAAGTAATAAGTTGAGTGCAGCAGAGCAGCTTTTTACCATTACAGAGTTTAAGTCTCTTCAGGAGGAAAAAAAGATTTTTTTTTCATTAAATGAAAGAAAGGCTATAAGTAAAATACAGTACAGGGAAATGTAAATTATAAGCTTGTAAAGACTTCATAAAATTAATCTAATTCATGATTAATGTACCTATTGGTAGAATTTTGTATGTCTTTGCACACATCCACTTATTGATATAGTCTTGCAAAATCCTCTATACTTTGTCTGAAGCAAATATTCCTAGTGTTAATTTATTATTTAGAATTTTCATTATTAAGACAGGATTTTAATTGTGTACTGATAGGCACAAGGTCTTTGTTTTTGAAAGACTGTAAAAAAAAGTACTTCAGATCTGTGTTAGTATACGCTTAAATTGCTTAGCAATAGCTGTATTTACTAGATTAGGAAAAACAGTTATGGACTGTGGGTAAGATATTTTCCCATTCTTAATTAAACTTACAACAGGAAAAACTACCGAAGATATGTTTCAACCTCAGTCCTATATAAAACAATCAAAACAGGGATGTGGGAAAATGATGGAGCAAAATGCAGGTAAGTGTTGAGAAGGGCATGGGTTTTCAAAAACATATAGTTTCAGGAAGAACAAAAAACACTGACTCTTGCTTTTGTTTTTGTTTTCGAGTAACTTTTTTTTAGACTGTAGCTCGAGAAATAAAGCTACAGCTATACACAGTGTTTTTTATTACAAAACTTGTGCAAAAATTAATTCACAAATGTTAACAGCATTTGGAAAGCTTAAAACAGTTTTGTTTTATCATTTACAGTCACTAAGATTATTTCACATTTTTGTTCAAATCCATATCGTGAATAAGTGTATGTGTGTGTCTGTGTGTGTGTACACAGAAACCTCTGTTTTCACCACCTCCTTTTCAAAACATTTCACTTCATGTCTTAAAACACAGTTACTGCTGAGAAGTAAGGCTCTTTAATTACTTCACATTAATTTTTTTTAAAAAAAACTACTACAGATAGCATTCATTGTCATTAATATTGGTATAACATGTTTTAATGACTATACTGCTATTATTAATGTTTATAAAACTTCTGTCCTTTTTAAAATTTTCACCAGGGCCCAATAGGTCAAAACTACAAGACATGCTTGCTAATTTGAGAGATGTTGATGATCTGCCTGCGTTACAGCCATCTGTTGTGCCACCCACCAGACCCAGTACTTCACGGCTTATTGAACAAGAGATAAACAGAACAGATGAGGGTAAGAAGTGTGTGTATGTGCATATGTGTGCATACTTGCAGGCATGCTGAAATACTGTGTATATAAGCTTTTATGACATGCTTATAATTTTATTATATTTGTGTTTGGTTAAAAACAATAGTTCTGAAGCAAGAGACATATTTGCTTTAGATGGTACATGTCATAACAGCAGTAAACTTAGAAGAGGCATCAAGAGAAAAGATGTTTCTCTCCTGTAATTTTTATGTATAAACATTTATCTGTGTGTTTAGATGATGATGATGATGATGATGATGATTATTATTATTATTATTATTATTATTATTATTATTATTATTATTATTATTATTATTATTATTATTATTGGTAAAAGTTTGAATTAATCAGGAAAGTAATTGAACAATGCATCTTCAGATTGAGCAGTGTACACTGTTTTGCACTCTTTATACAAATATTTCAGAACTATGTATTTGCATTCTGACTTCACTACCTCATGTATCATTGACTAATTTTCAGATTAAAAGTCAGCTCCTAGTTCTTACATAGTAAATGGCTCTTATCCAGTACGAGTGCAAAATGGACCACAGGAAAGTAAGGAACCATTCTTAATGATATGGCTGCAATTCTGATGGCTTTAATTTACGCCATATGAACTGGATGATATCAACATCTAGCAATGGAGATCTTTAGTATTATTAAATTAAAATTGTCCTTAATTAGACTTAGAGCCAAATAGGTAAACTAGCAAAACTGTTGTAGCAGCTAAGTTCTGAGCTCTCCATAATTGGTCTTGGTCAGTAGTCTGGCCACAGCATTTTGGACCAACTGAAGGCTCTGAACAGTCTTTCAAGACAGTTCCATATAAAATGTGTTAGAGTAACCCAAACTGAATCAAAGAGCTTGGCTAAATGGCCAAACTGGAACTGACTGGTTCGGGCTAAATAGGGCCACTTATGGTCACATAGAGGTACAGTATCCCATTTGGTACTATCTTTGTATCCACATGCAAGGATTGGGAGGTTTGTGTCAGGAAACCACACTATACCCCAAGCAACCCTTTTTGGTCCACCCCCCTTTAAAGGGAAAGAGGGAGAGCAGGAAGGAAGGAAGAGATCCCTGTTACCTCTACCTGCTGGGATGAAGTTTTCCATTTTTTCCCCTAAAATATATAGTGCATGAGTGCTGCCCTACTAAGCCTTTTAAGAGTTAAATGTCTACTTAAGCCACTTCATGATATTGGGAAATTGAAAGTTCTGGTTTGGTTTGATTGCATAGGGCTGGAACCGAACCAAGACAGAGGGATCGTACCCACACCTAAAAAGCAGTAGTCCCTGACAGGGAGCCAAAAAGGTGCAGATAGGAATGCTTTGTGGACAGGCTGGCACCAACATTGTGTAGTTGCTGGAAAAAGGAGCAAACTGGCCCATCCTCAGGGCAAACCAAACAGTGGGACAAATCCCTGTGTAGTCACACCTTAAGTAAGGTATGTGTCACTGTGGCTAGATCAGGCCATGAGTGGGTGTAGCTGTCAATTGTTCTAATTGTTCAGATGCACTTCTGGAAGCCTGGAAATTCAGCTGAACTTTATCTAGCACAAGTTGGTACAGCTGCAAGATTGTTTTGTAGTCTGGTTTTCGTTTTAGTACACTTTCTATATTTCTCACAAAGTTGAATCTTGTTGCTTCTCACCCTCTGATAGTGAGAATGTAGTAGGTATATAACAAAACAATTATACCTGTTGTAATGTAATATAAAAGCAAACCTTGGAGATTTTTTGTATAAATATTCATGCAGTCTGTTTCCTTGTTGCTGAATGCTTTGAACCTCCCTGAGAAATATAACTTCTGAATCATTTATATTTAGGAACTCTTTTTCTGGGAGGAGCTGAATATCCCGTATAATTTCTAAATGTTAATTTCATTTTGTTTCTTGAAATGAGCTTGATTCTTTGAATTTCTTGTGTATAACTTTTGTTTTTGCAGAGCACACACTTACCTTTTGTCTCTTTCAGTCGAAGCTTTAACATTCCCTCCTTCATCTGGAAAATCTTTCATAATGGGAGCAGATGAGGCCCTTGAAAATGAACTCGGTCTTGGAGAATTGGCAGGACTTACAGTAGCCAATGAGGCAGATTCATTGACTTACGATGTAAGTGTTCATTTGTGGCTCTCCCTGTCCATCTACCTAGAATAATATTATACTTTTAGAAGGTCAAACATAAATGGAATACTGTAGTAAAGTATCTTGTCAATAAAGACTTTATTATGCTGGATAGCTCAGTGGCTTAGGCATCTGGCTGGAGTGAGAAGTTGGGAGTTCAGTTCCCCACTGTGCCTCCTTGAGAGAGGCTGGACTCCGTGATCCATAGGGTCCCTTCCAGCTCTGTTTGCACACCAGATCCACTCACTGTTGTCCATCACAGCATTCTGGGTTTTTTGTTTGTTTGTTTGTTTGTTTGATCTCCCATTTATCTTTCTTCTTTTTCTCATTCTCCTCCATCTTTTTAACTTGATTTGTCGCTTCAGCCTTGACACTTTCTCCCTCAGTAGCTGAAGTAATTACTGACACAGATAACCATTTGCAAGTCTGACCACTGTTCATTTGATCTGCACTAGAAATTTTGCATTTTTGCTATCCTTCTCTCTCTTCTAGATCTAATAATATGACTATTCATGGGAATTAGACCATGTAAATATCCTGATAAGCATGCTGATGCTTTTATTCATGGTGGCATTCTTATGTACTGCATATTATTTATTAAAATATTTTTAAACTGTCCATTATTTTAGGTTGTTAGGTGAGTAAACAAGAATAAAAGCCAAAATAAGCAATAGAAGAATATCACAGTTAATAGAAATCAGTGACCAAAAAATAGAAATATGCTGTAATTCCTGTGCAAATCAATTTTTCTTGACACTAGAACAATAAAGTTGACATACCACTTCTGTGGGACAGCATTCCAGATATGGGAGGTCGCTACCCTTGCTCCTACACAGTGAGCTCCACCAGTAAAGAAACTCAAATCAGTCTTTCTGAAAATCTGAAGACTTGAGCTGTTTGGTTAATTACTCTTGTTTCTGATGGGTTACCACACAGTCTTGCAAATAAAGGCTTTAAATTATTCAAAGCTACATCAGGTAGCAAATGCTCTTGTTTAGGGTGACCCTTGCAGTTAGACATTGAATGGCATTTGTTACCTGGCATCATACGTGGATGGTTTCTGTAATGCCCAGTTTATTGTCGGCCATTAATTGTGTATTTATTTATTTATTTACTTATTTTATTTTATTTATATCCCACGTATCTGGTTGGGTCAGGACCACTCTAGGTGGCTAACAACATAAAATAATACAAAAGGTGTGTGTGTCCACTTCCAGTTTAAAAAATGAGTATTCTGGGGGGAGACCCTGTCTTGAGGGCTGCCTGTCTTGATGGCTTTCGGGAACTATTTGGTAAAACAATTTTTAAATAGCAGAGATTAAATAACGTAGGGGAGACAATAGGAAGGGGAAAGAAGGATGTCAGGAATTATCTGATGGGAAGGCCTGCCGAAACATCCATGTTTTAAATTGATTCTTGAAAATACCCAGCGAGGGAGCCATGCGGATCTCAGGAGGTAGGTTGTTCCAGAGGCAAGGAGCCACCGCCGAGAAGGCCCGATTTCTTGTCTTTACCTTCCGGGCCTCCCTCGGCGTTAGGCTCCTCAGCCTCACCTCCTGGCTCGCACGAGTGACACGGGTAGATCTCAGTGGGAGTAGGCGTTCCACCAAGTATCGAGGCCCTAAACCGTTTAGGGCTTTGTACGTTAGCATCAGTACTTTGAAGTCGATGCGGAATCGAATGGGCAGCCAATGCAGTGCGGCCAGAGTGGGTGAGATATGTTGGTATTTTTTCACTCCACTAAGTAATCTGGCTGCCTCATTCTGCACCACCTGTAGTTTTCGCAGCAGCCTCAAAAGTAGCCCCACGTAGAGCGCATTGCAGTGGTCTAATCTCGAGATTACAAGCGCATGCACCAAGGTAGTGAGCGCCCCAACATCAAGGTAGGACCGCAGCTGGGCTATCCGCCTGAGATGAAAAGAGGCGGTACGGACCACCGAAGCCACCTGGGATTCCATTGTAAGCGCCGGGTCCAGATGGATCCCCAAGCTGCAGACCCCATCCTTGGCGGGCAGAGTCACCCCCCAAAAAACAAGGGAGTTTCCCAAATCCCCAACTGTGGGGGCGCCCACCCTCAGTACCTCTGTCTTGTCCGGGTTCAGCCTCAGCCCGTTCTCCTGCATCCATTTCAGTACAGCCTCCAGGCAGCGCTGAAGGGACACAACGGCATCTCCTGCAGTTGGTGAAAAGGAGATGTAGAGCTGAGTGTCATCAGCATACTGATGACACATCAGCATACTGATGACCTCTGAAGGTTTTGAAAGGCAACAAAAGTGGTATCCCCACATGAACCTTCCTGCTGACATTGTAAGTTGAGGCCTTGCCACTTAAGGTGTGGTTGGTAGTGACACAGGACAAGACTTTCTCAGGGGTGATGCCAGGCTTCTCCCTTGAAGTTTGTATGAGCCCCAGACTAAAGGCTTTTTTGGCAAGATTAAAGACCATTTTATTTTGCTCAGCTTTCAGTCATGAGTGATTTTCTGTTATCTTGGCTATGGATCATTGATTTGTTGTGTTGTAGTTTACTGACAGACTCAGCTGCTCTCTATTTACAGTGTTTATTCAATATAATCAGTGTTCAATGTGTTAATGTTGGGTTTTTTCTCTCTCTCTCTCTCTCTTTGTAAGCTGTGTTGAAGGCATTTTTTAAAAAGTAAATTAGTAGAAGGTGTTTTATGAAAGGGGAAAAAAGACAAAATAGTATTTCAGATATTGAGAAGTAGCCACTTCTTCAAAACAAATATTATAAGAAAGGGGGAAAAATAAATGTTCCTGAAATTATGTGGGTGATAGCATCAAAGTCAGCTAGTATTGACAGTAGCAAGAAATGTTTGGTCTATTATGTAAAGGGGGAAGCAAATATAAACTTCCAACAAAAAGAAATTAAGAAGATCTGAATTTCTTTACTTGTGGAGCTCACTGTGTAGGCACAAGGGTAGTGACCTCCCATATCTGGATAAGGAGATTATATAACTGTATTCACGAAGGCTTTCATGGCTGGGATCTAATGGTTGTTGTGGGTTTTTCGGGCTCTTTGGATGTGTTCTGAAGGTTGTTCTTCCTAACGTTTCACCAGTCTCTGTGGCCGACAGCACAAAGTGCTGTCCTCTGAAGATGTATAATTCTTTATTTCAAAAAAGTGCATTTACTTGTTGTATCACATACTGTTTAGCAGATAACACTCTTGGGATGAAAAAAATACAGGTTATACAGGTCTTGTTGCTTTGTGGGGAGCTGGTATCTCAACTATGCTTGATATTGATGAATTACTTTGCCAAAGACAATAGCCTCAGATGGTGGGGGAACAGTCATATCTCTGTTTTAACTTGGAACCTTTCCAAGTGCTTAGTCTTGTCGAACTATCTGATAACGGAACAGTGAGGTATATAATTTGTATTGTTATCTTCTTTCTGCCCGTTGCATTTGTTGTGACAGATAGCAAACAATAAAGATGCCTTGAGGAAGACTTGGAATCCTAAATTTACTTTAAGAAGCCATTTTGATGGAATAAGAGGTCTGGCGTTCCATCCAGTTGAACCAGTGTTAATTACAGCCTCAGAAGACCATACATTAAAAATGTGGAATTTACAAAAAACATCTCCAGCAAAAAAGTAAGTTAATGGATGATAAATATACATGATGATTAAATGTCAAGCTATACATTGAAGAAATAAGACACCAACACAATGGCGAATTTAGACCTGATACTTCTTGCACTCAAGTGATCAGATGATTTAATAAAGTAGGGTTGTACCAAATCTTATCCTTCCTTGAATATAAGAGTTCCTTGTGCTTTTGAGAACTGAAATAGGTTTCCAACTGGAGAAGGGAAGTGAGACAGCAGTTCTCCAATTCTGTCTGCATCTACCCAGAATTATCTCCCAATCTGTTCCAGAGACTTGGCCAAACTTCCAAAAGAGCATAAGAGATGGCACTGAGGGCTGAAAGAGAAATTTTTAAAATAGCCTCACTTCCCCACGTCCTTCCACTACCACTGACAGAATTTTTCAGAGTGAAAGTCTGGATCCACTTCAGTGTGACTAAGGAATATTGCTTCCTTCCAAAGCATATTCCATTTTTTATTTTGGATTGTTTTGAACTGAAGAATATACTGTAGAGTTTAGAATTGTTCCTTAAACAAAGGAGATTGAGCCACCACCCTTCAGTGTTCTCTATCTCAGGAGTCTTAGCACCCATAGCAAGTGAAGAAACAGCACTGGTAGAAATATGAAAACTAGCCACAATTTATTTTGACTACAATTGGTCTCTGAATATAAGCTTGTAAGCCATTTCATTTCTCTTCCTGTACAGTATAGAATCTCACTTTTAGTCAGATTGAAATTAATTTTTGAATGCTCCTTGCTGGTTATTTCAAAGTGTCTTTTTGATAACTTAATGTTATTGAACTTTTTACTTGCTTTGATGATTGTGGTTTTTCAAAAGACCCTTTGTAGATCAGGAAGCTGTGCTCATAGAAGGAACATATAACATGGGAAAAGACTGAGATGATGCAGATACATCTTTAAATAAAGGAATATTTAGAAAAGTTAATGTTAATTTAAAGCAGGAGTAGGAAATTCTGGGGGCCAGTTTTCTGGCCAAGTTGGGATCGTCCAAGAGTTGCATACACCATCACAAAATGTGAAGGAAGTCCACTTCCAGTTTAAAAAATGAGTATTCTGGGGGGAGACCCTGTCTTGAGGGCTGCCTGTCTTGATGGCTTTCGGGAACTATAGTTTCACCTTTATCAGTTGGAAAGGGGGGTATCAAAGGGCTGAGGGCCATAAAGTAGCCTTACCATGAATAAGTGAAGATTTGTCCCTCACCCCAGTTTAAGGGAACTTGAAAATCAACTCTTGGATATCTTATACAGTGTTTTTCTGTGCTTTCTGTTCTCCAAATCTTTGAACCTGTGATTCTGCTTTCCTTTTTGTTTAGGAGTGCCTCTCTTGATGTTGAGCCTATCTATACTTTCAGGGCACATAAGTAAGTAAATGTTGAGGAATAAATGGAACCTGTTTTTATTGGGATGCATACAGCTGCAATGAACTTGTGGTGAACTGTGGTTTGCAGGAATCCATGCAGTAATTGGTTGGTGCTTCATTTGGTATCTGGAGCTGGGTTTGCTATGTATCTAATATGCTACTTAATTTCTGCTTCCTAGAAACTGATAGAAACTGCACTCAGGCAGCTGTTGGGGTAATCTCTGGTGCAGTTTAGTTTGTGGCCATGCGGATTTCATTGGCTGCTATTGCTACTGCTCCCCACTTTCAAATTGTATAGTACCAGTATCTTGCTATGAATTATCCAGGCCCATAATTTATATCTGTCTTCAAAGAAAAGAGGATGGGGATAGAGAAAGAAGAATGACCTCTTCCAGCAGTGATGGAATGCTTTGGGAGATTGTTTAAAAGCTCTTTCTTCTTCATATGTGATTTCATTTGTTTGCCAGTAGATACTTGTGTAGAATTGGATAGATGGGGGGCTATAGTTTGCCATTAGAAGTAAGACTTATTGAATCAATATCGTTTTGATATGCTTTCTTTTGCAGCAGTCCTGTGCTTTGTGTAGTCATGAGTAATAGTGGTGAACAGTGTTACAGTGGGGGAACTGATGGTCTCATTCAAGGTTGGAATACCACAAATCCAAATATTGACCCGTATGATTCCTATGGTGAGTATCCTTAATTTTGTCTGATTACATTTTTGCACATTAAAAACTACAAAGCAACTTAAAGCCCAGCTGGAAATAAATTTTAGAAATCAGTATTTTGTGGATCAAAATGTGACAAGAACTTGGTGTAATGGAAATGGTAGATAAGAGATTATGTGAAAGAGTGATTGCTTAGAAAGAATTTTATATAGCAGATTAATTTTTGAAATAAGAAAAATGCAGAGCAGGGCCATAAGGTATTGATAAATTTGGGGAACAAATCAGTTTGCAACCAGTTTCATCAACAATCCTGTTGCTAGGATAAAACACTTAAAAAAACTACTGACATTTGAACACAGTTAATAAGGCAATGAAGTGTGAAAGAGATGACTTCAGTTTTTCAGTAACATGTATGTTTTGTATAAAAAAAGTCCCAGGTTCAACTCCTGGTTTGTTCAGCATGTCCCAGATTCAGTGGTTGTGCTTAAAGCCAGAAATGGGAAAAAAACGTATGCTTGAAACACTAGAGAACACCTGCTGATCAGTGTTGATATTTCTAGGCTTGTCAGTGATCTCACTAGTATAAAGCAGCTTTCTATGTTTTAAAAGTACTTTGATCTTATCCTGAATGTGTAATTTGTTCACAGACCCTTCTGTCTTAAGAGGCACCTTTGTAGGCCACACAGATGCAGTGTGGGGGTTAGTTTACAGTGGAGTACACCAGCGCTTGCTCTCTTGTTCAGCAGATGGCACTATACGTTTATGGAAAGCTTTAGAGATCTCTCCAGCACTGAATATATTTAATGATAATCAAGGTATGGATTAATATTCTGGAGTTTAGAAAACTTCATAGTTACAATTTTATAATCTACAGTTTTACAGCCATGTTCTGGCAAAATTGTTTCATTAAAAAAGTTTACTCTTAGCATAATGGAAAAGTGATAGAAGATTCTCAGCATTACTACACTGAAGTTGTAAATCAAAACTAAGAAAACATACTGTCCCCAAAGCTTTAATTAAATTACAGTTCTGTGTTTGTGTTTATATCTCTCAAGGATTAGAATAAAAGTTTGTTTCCTTTGTTTTAAAGGATAAATGGGTACAAAGATGATTAAGAATGCTCACTGGTTTCTTTTCTTTAACATTATATATAAAAACAAAATTTAAAAAAAGAAACAAATAAAAAGGACAAAAACCTGGTGGCACCTTAAAGACTGTTATATTTTAATGTGAGCTTGTCTGGACAAGTCAATTTCCTCAAAGATAAGAGAGAAATGTAATATGGCAAATATTTATGCATTGCAGTAGAACACAGATCATGGTTGATTGGTTGGCTGGTTGGTCAGTTCAGTCGGTCAGTCATTGGGTATTTAACTGTGGAGTGCTAGCCTCTTTGATATACAGGTATATTCCATTGAAGCTTGTGCTGTAAAGCAGTGGTCCCCAACCTTGGGCATCCAGATGTTTTTTGACTTCAAGTCCCAGAAATCCTGGCCAGCAGAGGTGGTGGTGAAGGCTTCTGGGAGTTGTAGTCCAAAAATATCTGGAGGCCCAAGTTTGGGAGCCACAGCTGTAAAGGATGCTTTAACAGTATTTGTTTAAATAAATACTTTTAACGGTGTTTATTTATAGCAATGTGATGACATTCATTTTCTAGCAATAAAGTGCAATTATGTTTTATATTAGGGACGTGGTGGCGCTGTGGGCTAAACCGCAGAAGCCTGTGCTGCAGGGTCAGAAGACCAAGCAGTCGTAAGATCGAATCCACGCGATGGAGTGAGCTCCCGTCGCTCGTCCCAGCTCCCGCCAACCTAGCGGTTCGAAAGCATGCAAATGCGAGTAGATAAATAGGGACCACTTTGGTGGGAAGGTAACAGAGTTCCGTGTCTAAGTCACACTGGCTATGTGACCACGGAAGATTGTCTTCGGACAAAACGCTGGCTCTATGGCTTGGAAACGGGGATGAGCACCGCCCCCTAGAGTCGAACACAACTGGACAAAAATTGTCAAGGGGAACCTTTACCTTTACCTTTATGTTTTATATTTGAAATGCAAAATGTGCCACCAAGCTGAATGAACACAACTGATGGCTTTAGACTAATAGAGTAAACTTGTGTGGTAACCCCTTCTGATATTACTTGCTTTTTTTAGAAATGGGGATTCCATCTTCTGTAGACCTTGTGAGCAGTGACCCAAGCCACATGGTAGCATCATTTAATAGTGGACATACAAGCATTTTTAATATGGAAACAAGACAACACATTCTTACCTTGGAATCTAACATAGACACTGGTGTGTATCCAAAATGGGATTTTCATTGGTATATTGGGGGGGCAGAATACGTGAGGGATTTATTTTAATTGTTTTAGAACATTGTGATCCCTTAATGGGACCTGAATATTCAAGACCAATTTTGATACAGCTTATGTATGAAGTGGCAAAAAAGAATGGCAAACCAGAGGGAGGGAAAAATTATATTTGATCTTAGAGTGAAAAGGAGAGACAGAATTTGGTGAAGCAGGTACAGATTGAGAAAAATCTCTTCATAGGATGTATAAACTAGAGAGTCCACCACCGTGAAGCATCAGTATACTGGGGGATACCCAGATGTTGAGGCCTTCGTGAATGAGTGACAAATAAGCAGGCACTACAACAGTGCTTGTGCTTCACCTCTCTCCTCTTCTGTGGGATGTGTGAACCAAGAGTCACTTAGGAAGATACCCATGAACCCTAGGGTGATATCTAAAGCATATGAATCTGTCTGTACTTTGCATGGTACAATGAATGAAAGGAATGCAAGGAAGAAACAATTCACCTGCACATTTCTGTGAAGTCTAGTCCAGCTTTAAAGAGACAGCATAATTCCGATTTGTGTCTGCTTAGTATACCTATTTTCATATTAACAAAGTTTGGTAATTTTTTGCACCTGTCCAGAGCACACTGTTAGGAAGTAAATTCAGTGTCAGATACTTGAGCCTGATTGCCTTTTTATTGGCTGTCAACTGTATTAGAATTATATGTAAAAATTGTAGGTAAAATAGGGGAAACAGTTTTCAAGAAACAAAGTAGTAATTTCCACACCATCTCATCCAAAATACTGAATAATTCTAAGATGTATTTGGTTAGAGTAGGCTACTTTGGACATTGAAAATAGCTTTGCATTGGCCTTCAGAATTGGACAATAGTCTTTCATGATTGTTGTGGGTTTTTCGGGCTCTTTGGCCGTGTTCTGAAGGTTGTTCTTCCTGACATTTCGCCAGTCTCTGTGGCCAGCATCTTCAGAGGATTGGAGTAGGAACTCTGTCCTACTCCGGTCTTTCATGAGCCTTAACTATTATTTGCGAAATAATTATGTCTATGTTTACTCCTTTAACAGGTAGTTCTTGCCAAATAAACAAAGTAATCAGCCATCCAACTCTTCCAATCAGCATTACAGCCCATGAGGACAGACACATCAAATTTTATGACAATAATACAGGTAAGGAAGCTCTATGCACCCACTATTGGCTATAAGATTCTGTTATTCAGTGGTGAACATGTGTCAGTCTTGATGTCATCTCTTCAGTGTGCCTGAGAAAAAGAATAAGAGTTTATTCAAGCAATTTTGTTATAATCCTGAGCCACATGAACATTGTGACATCCCACTTGTACCTAGAAGGCCTTCTGTTTGAGCTACCCAGGAGTTCTGACACAGTAAGGTTCTCCTGATACACAAATGTCCATCGTTTCAGGATGAGTTATGTTTGCTTTGATCTAACAAACTGTACTCAGTGCTTGTATGGTTTTCTGTTTCAACAGAAAGCAAGGCATAAATGATTTGTATACTCTGAATAATGGTGAAAGCATGTAAATATGCATTGTACATGTGGTAACTGAGATCAAAACATATTGAGTGCTCTTTACAACTGATGGATGGTATATGTACATTTTGTACTCATTTAAATAAGAGCCCACTTCTGATCCTTCTACAACTTAAATCAATAATAATATTGACTGGAATTCTATTGGCATTTGTGTAAGGTTTGCATAACTTGCTATGTCTAATTGGAGGTGATTTACAGTATATCAGTATTTATCTTGGTTGTATAGTTGGGCATGTGGGCAGGTGCACAGTCAAGATATTTCCCTGCACCTTGTGAAATAGAGTGTCAGGTTACACAACCCTTATGCAAACACCTGTAGAATTCTGGCTGTTTTAAAAGTGGGGATTCTGAAGGTGTGAACCAGGATGCATGTCTGCCTTGGAAGTGGCTGAAGTGCACTTTTGAAATATTAGTACACTCTGATAGATGCATCTACTACTTTATCTCCACTACTATGATGTAATTTCCCCCCCCCCCCCAATATAACAGTAGTGAAATGTTGCAAGCATGATCTAGGTTGCTGGTGGTGCTGAGAACACCCAGACTTCTTTTTCTTAATTGTTTCTGTCTAGAGGCCGGGTGTCATTGTGGCTGTTTCGTCAGACGACATCCAAAGCACTTTCTAGTGTTTTTCAGCAAATAAATTCTTTCTGCACATTTTCCTATTTATTTTTGCAGTACTGTTTCCCAGAAACAAGTTGTTCCATCCCTGACTGACTGGGAAAAGGAAAAAATGGGTTGCTGGGGGATAGCAAAGAAATCACTGTAGCATTTGTAGAGCCTATGTCTTCAAGGTAATAAAGTAAATAACATATGTCTTCACAGTTTAAAGTGAAGTGTGTCTTACCTTTAATCCACACCCATTTATTCCAAGACTTTCCATGCATCAAATTTGGAGCACACATGCTTAGGCCAGTGCACTACAGATGAAATTAATCATTGCAGAGGCATTGCCAGATGATCACTTTTCAAAGGGAGGGGGAAGGTAGAGAATACTCAGAATCACCTCCTATACCCCAGAGTGATTAGGTAGTATACCTAGCCTGACCTTTTTGATACAAATGCCATCTTGAACTAATACAGATGAAGATTTGCAAAGCATTGACTTAAGACATGATGTTAAATAAAAGCACATTTTTCGTTTTGTAGGAAAATTGATTCATTCCATGGTAGCCCACTTAGATGCAGTCACAAGTTTAGCTGTTGACCCAAATGGCTTGTACTTGATGTCAGGCAGTAAGTACATTCAGTAATCCTTCTTTATGTTTCTTAGCTAACTCTAAAGATGACTGTAAATCTAAGAGATCTTGCCCCTTTTTCTAACCTAGGTCACGACTGTTCAATACGGTTATGGAATCTTGAAAGCAAGACCTGCATTCAAGAGTTCACAGCTCATCGCAAAAAACATGACGAATCCATCCATGATGTGGCATTCCACCCCTCCAAATGTTACATTGCCAGTGCAGGAGCAGATGCACTTGCTAAGGTCTTTGTATGATGCAATACTTTGCTTCTCTTCTAGCTGCCATGTACATATGACAAGCTGTAGAAAAGACAAGGGCATGGATCTTCTTTTCATGCCCTCTAATTCAGTGAATGTTAGTACTTGTTTAGGATTTTTTTCCTGGCAGGATGCTTTTTTCTAAATTAAAAGATTCTCTGAGTTGTAAGTGCTCAGCTAATGCTGAGAGCTAAGAAATACTCTGCTTTAAATGGGACATAGAAGAACCATTTTTATTTTTGAAATATTTGTCCAGGCTGGCTTTGGGCAAAATGGGATCCTCTGCAAACAATGTGGTGAAGCAGAATAATCAACAAAGAAGCCAATAGCTCAGTGTCTGTAGAATGTAGATAAATACTAGACATGGGATATTTGTATTCATCTCTCTGAGAATATGAATTTGAATGTTGACACCACAAGTGCACAGGATGTCCAGTCTCCCCCCCCAAACCGGCAGGTCCAGTTATTGGTCACTGTGTGGCCAGCGTTGTTCCAGTTGTGCCAATCACAGAAGAAGCCCAGCCAGTGCTTCGTTGCCTCTCCACACAGTTTACCACTTCGGTGAGGAGGCAGGATGATAAGTCTCCCCAGGGAAGCACCAGCCAAGCTGCTTCCGTGATTGGCGCAACAGAATGATACTGGCCACCCGTTCGGTGACCAGTTATTGGACCTGCAAGTTCGGGGTGGGGGGAGGGACTGGATGTCACAGGCACCTGTGGTGCTGATGTTTATATTCGTATCCCAAGGATACAAATATCCCATGTCTAGTAGATATTGATTTATCAACCTATTTCTTGAATAATTTTATATACATAATTTCAGTAGAATAACTTCAGAATTTGGTGATTCATGAAACATGGAATCATAGGATAAACAGCATTTTGTCTTCTTCTTCTTCTTCTTTTTTTTTGTTACCAAACAGTTGGATAAATGTACAGAACATAATGTTTGCAGCTTGCTGGCTGTTTTATTAGGTGGATTGGGTTTAAAATGTCAAATATTTAGAGATACTAATGCATTAATTCCATAAATAAATTATATTGAAACCTAATAAATATAATGCGTAAAAATGTATGTTTTATTTGAAAGTATTGTTAGCAAGTGGCTGGAACCACATTATGTCTTCAATTCAGCTTCACATTTTGTGGTGGATATCCATTTGAGATGAAAAGGAGACTTTGAAAGCTGGTAATTCTTTTGTTCCTAAATAGCAGGATACATTAGGTGATGTATCTCTCACCTTTTCAACAAAACAAGAAGGAAGATCTAGATAACCTTTAGTGGATCTCACTGTTGAAAGCACCTTAAAAGAATCCTAGCAGCATTTTCACTGTGATTTAAGTAAACCCCAATTAAGATATAAACTTTGTCTCCCCAGCTTATCCGATTTTTCCTCTGTCACACATAGACCACAAGAACTGCTTCCTTATGGTTCGCAATCATACTACTTGAAAATATGAATTAGTGGGAGACAGAACATTAATGCATAAAAAAACTGGGTGAGACTGTTGCAACATTATCCTCACTCTCTTAGTGTAGTGGTGATTGACTGTGAACTTGTACACAGCTGGCATATCTGATCACTTATTTGAAAATATTTACAGCAATAGAAAGCACCTTCCATGCTGCTTGTATTGTGTAAAGGAGTTCAGTAGCTGACCATCAAATAACCAAAATGTTTGCAGAATATTTGAAAAATTTCTTATCTTTTAAGTATAGTACATCCTTTTATTCTCCCCAAACATTTATCATTAACATTGTGAAAGATTATACCAGACCTAGGTGAAAGTGATCTGCTTAGGTTACTACAGATTTGCAAGAGAAACCAGTGCACTGTTAGTACTGCAGACAGTTATCTTTAAGTTTGAAGATGTTGAGTTCTACCTGTTTTAGATTTCTAAAGGGCAGTTATGATGAGGGGCCAAAACAAAAGTGAGTCCTGTAGTATCATAAAGACTAAAACATTTACTGTAGCATAAGATTCTATGGATTATAGCCCTGTAATCTAATGTTTCTGATGCAGTGGTTGGAATCCTGTTGCTGTAACTCTGCCCATATAAGGCTGATGGCATTGAGATGAGGGAAGCCTTTAATGTCCAAAAATTGCTGCCACTGGCCCTGCCATTAAGACCAGGACTGGTAGTGATGGTTTTTGGACATCACAAGGCCCCCAAAGCTTTCCCTATGTCAAAAGGAATCCCTAGGGTGCCCTAGAACCTGGTGGATGAGAAATTTTTAATTAAGGATAAAAACCAACAGCTGATGACATCATCAACCTTACATAACATGGAGCTGTGCCAACAGGATACCAGCCAATAAATTTGTTAGTCTTTAGTCACAGGACACATTGCTGCTTTTGTAGATATTTCTTTTCTTGTAGATATAGATGTTCAATGTATTTCCCTTAAATGCTAATAGACTCTTAGTCTAAAGAAAGTAGTAATTCAAAAGATCTTATTTTCTTTATATACTTGCTTTTGAATCACAGCAGGAAGTCCAACTGCAATAGAACACATTTATCTATATGCGACTTCTGTGTATGTGCCCTATTCTCTTGGTGTCCTTTTTTTCTTTTAAGAAAAGGATATTATAAAAGGGTTTTTTTGTGGAAAAACAAATGCATTGTGTATATTATGTGTGTGTACATATATATATATAGATACATATATATATATAGATATATATATATAAAGAGGTTGTAAACAGTATGTATTAAGGGAAAATTCTATATGGATATTTTAATGTTTTAGTATTAAAAGTTCTTCTGACTTTGTTGAATACAAAGGATAAAAGGTATGAATATTGTGCTTTTTGCTTAAGCAATATAATATACATAGTTGCTGATGTTTAAATTGTTGTACATAAAACTAATAGGCCAGCATGTTTGTTTCTAAGAATCCCATTTGATTAAATAATGAATGTAAGGAAAAAAGTTGCTGTTCAGGTATGGATTGGAAGTTGCTCCATCCTGCTTAATGAATTCTTGATCCAAGTGAAGTAACTTTCAAAATAGACAAATAGCTAAAAGGCTAAGGTGCCTTTTGACAAACAAAATGTAGCCTTATTAGGTTGTAGGCTCTGTATTTGTGCTCTTCTCCAGATCTGTATTTGTGTCTGTCAGTCTTCTGCTTGCAAATGATAGACTGCATTGTACTGTGCACAAGTATTAAAAATATTTGAGATGTTGTCTTTAGTTAGATATCAAAAGATTTTAGTTTTGACTGAGTGGCACTTCTTTTGTGCATTTTATAACCATTCAGGTGAGATTATTAACCTTCTGCCCACATCTTCTCTTTCCTTTTTGCTACTTTTCTTCATGTCTTTTGACAGCAGCTGATCAAGCATACTGCCTTCATAGGTGCCTGGTGGCAGCAGTGTTAGTGGCATTGGTAGCAGCAGCCAGAGAAGAAATAGATAGATATTATTTGCTGAAAGGGCCCCTTGGAGCTACTTGCTCCCAGCTGCTGTCCCTAGTGAGAAAGCAACAGATCCATCCAGCTAGGGCCTCACCTTTGGGCACCGCAGGAAACCACACACACACACAAAATCTCCCAACACTCCAAACGTAGTTCCAAGAGAACCCCCCACCCAATGGTATTGGCATCGATCCAACTCCAAAGGCAGATGTGACATTTGCCTCTCCAGAAGCTTGGATTCAGATTTGGATAATGAAACTTCCAACAGCACTCTGTTAGGGAAAAACAGACCTTGGAGCCCAAGATAACAAATTACACAGAGTCTCTTATCTGGTAGCTTCAAATCCTCCCCTTTATAAGCAGAGCAAATATGCAGACATACAAGGAAAAACACAGAGAGAGTTCTGATAAGACTTAAAGCACAATATATTAGACTTCATATATTAGAATTGGTCAGACATATACACATGGCATTATATACATAGGCTTGTGCATAGATCTCTCGGAGCAACATAACATTCACAGAAGTAATGTCCACTAGACTCATAACTGAGTGGCAAAGTGTTGTTCTCACTCTCTTGCTTAAATAGTGAGAGCAGCCTGTCACTGCAGACATAGCGCTGAATGTGGTTAACAAGCACTACCTAAGCTTGTTCCAACTGCATGCCATCAGTCATCCATTGACTTGACATTTACAGACATGACTTTGCATTCTCACTACAATATTAAATTTAACCCCTTGTTCACTTAAAGGAACAAATCTTGACAAATGGCCCAGCCAGACCTGCTTATTCACCCACCTGCATGTCCCCACCCCATAACAGTAGCCCCTTCTATTCCTCTCCTGTGTAGATGGTATGTGGTTCTAAATGAACAAACAAACAAAAAGAATGCTAAAGAGCAGTTCTCTTTTGTGTCAAATGAAAGGACAACTGCACCTAAATAAATAAATAAATTTGAAAATGAAAGAGGCACCCCTTAAAAGAACTCCAAACAAAATAAAACTAAAATTTCTTATATATCAGTCGCTTCATTTCTCACTGCAGAATTGTCCTATAGACCTTAGCTGTATAACACACAAATATAATTCAGTTTTCTAACTGATTAGTAACTATATTAAATACTTAGCAGCTTGGAAATAAATAAAGCCTGGGTAAGTCAATGGCTGAAATCTTGTTGCAGTGGTATGCAAAAGGAGTACCTTGCAATTTACCCCCAAAATTGCCACTAGTTAATATATCACCATAGACAGTTGTTGCATATGGAGTTGCATGCCTCTGAATAATATGGATAATATCTACTAAAATTTGTTAATGTGGGACAGTTCACCTTTTGTGCAGCCCTGCAACAGGATTTCAGTCAATAAACCTTATGTATTTATCTACCAAAGAAAATCTACAAGACGTGGGTAACCACAGTCTTTCAGTTGCTTTCAGCCCACAAACCAATCAAGACAGTGCTGAGAGTTTAATGGAACTAAAATCTCTTTACCAGTCTAAAAACATCTGGTTGGCTACTGTGAGACGATATCATTGGATACATGGCTTTTAAAAATGCTGCCCATGAGGTTACTTTGGAAAGTGTTAGGGCCACAAATATTTGTGACTTCAGATCAAAGAATTTCAGCTGGGCTATTGTGAGATCCAAAGATCTTGAATAGTATAGATCTCAACAGTTCCTTGGATTCCTGACTTAGAATCCGTGTATCAATGGGTTTGGTGTGGTTATGTCTAATCTTTCGTCAGATTGATCACTGCTTTCCTGAACTAAAACATTTCAATTGAAACTCCTTCCTTTCAGAATAAACAAACACTAGAAATTCTCAATAGCCATCCATCTACTTTGTAGTATGGACTTGAGGAGAGTTGCAAGGAAATTTTCCATTTGCTTAGAATTATAGGGTAACTGAAATCATCCCATAAGGCTAGGTAATCTGAAGCACCTTTATTTTGAGAAATTGGGAGTAGCAGTTAAGCAAACTAATGCTTGCAACATGAATAGACAATAACATGTCCATATGAATTGGATTAATTTAAGGTTACTGTGAGGTCTTCCTCATTTTTGGGAACTGTGCCACAGAACATAATTGATTACTCTTGTCTAGTTCATTTTTCCCCTAGAAAGATAGAGTACCTAGTCTATATGGTTATGTTAATGTGTGAATCATGGTAACAGCTTATAGTTCCTGATCAGTTGAAAGAAGCTCCTAAGGAGAGGGATGGAGGAGGTGGTACAATTAACTTATGAGGATACTTCATGATTCAGTAAGGTCAGCTTTTCCACAGATAGTAGCTTTGGTGGAAGAAACTTGGATCTTGATTTTTTGCTGTGTTTTTTTTTTAAATATACTGCAGTCTTATGCTTGACGTAATGGTCTTTTCTTCCAAATAAATTGGGCATAGGATTACAGCCTTAGTATTAGAGTAAGTCAGGATTTTGACAATGCCATGTGTTACGTTGTCATCATTTTGACAACACACTGAATTAGTTGTCCTGTTGTTTTAATCACATTAGGGAGATTCAGTGTTAGTTAAAGAGGAACGCATGGTAGTACATTTTAAGCACAAAGTTTTCACCATAGGAAGGCTTCTCATTACCAAATGTATCCAAGCCAGTTTTGGGGGAGGGGGATCTGACAAAGGATTCTGTTTGGAGAATTGCTTTCAAAATTTTATCATTTTCCCCCAAACCACATAAGTTGGAACGAGGAGAAAAAGTACCCACTAGGTGGGTGGATGGGGGTGTTTCCTGAGCATGATGCATTTCTTAACTTTCAAAGACAAGCCACTTTTAAAAGCAGAAAAACCATCTTGAGTAAGCTGTGTAGAATAAAGTTGTTTATTTATCTGATATATGGAGAAAATATTCTCATTGTGGGGCAATCATTTCTATTAATATATTGTTTAAATAAGGCAATACTTAGGGAGGAACAAAGGCAGGAGCACTGGTAGTTGCTAAGCAAAGTTGGATTGTTGTGTACAGTACCTGCATTCTATGTTGAGCAAATTCAAATGGACCTTCCTGAAGTAACACTGTACAGAGCAGCTTTACTAAATATTACAGCAAATAATTGTCCTTTGTACCATGTATTTATGTAAATTGGGTGCTAATAAATACTATTTTTCAACATCAGTGTATGTGTCTCTATGTGTTCAAAATCTGTGTTGCACATTCGAAGAACAATTGAATATGCAACGTGTAAGGTAAAGGTTCCCTTTGACAAGAAAAAAGCTTTATATGTTACTGCTCGTTCTACAGATGTATGGATATGTTGTACTTTGTACAAATTGCAGATTACTACATAGGTCCATTGGAAAAGAAAATGGAAAGGCACAACAAGGCAATAAGTTTATTAGAATCAGATAAAACAGCCTCTTTTGAGGCGGGATATGTATGTCTCTGTTTATGTCTAGACTCCACTCCTGAGCAAGATCTCCAGTTTTTGATGGTTCTTGCTAATGTCGAAAGTTTATACACAACTTCTCTGCAGGTATGTCTCTTTCCACATGGAGAAGGCAGCCACAGAGACAGGAGAGCAAGATGCTTCCCAGCTTTCTTGTTGGATAAAACAGGGTAGTGCATAAACAGGGCTTCTGTCTTAACAGATTTTTAAAGCCCTGAATTGCAGTAGGAAAACATGGAAGTATATTTGCGAAAGCTTTCACGGCCGGGATCTAATGGTTGTTGTGGGTTTTTCAGGCTCTTTGGCTGTGTTCTGAAGGTTGTTCTTCCTAACATTTCGCCAGTCTCTGTGGCCGGCATCTTCAGAGGACATGGAAGGTTTATAAATCAAAGATGACTGTGTCTTCCCCCCCCCACCCCCAATAACATTCTGTGAATGAGGTGTGATTGAGCAATAATTGTCTCATCTGGATGCAGCTGAAGTTTCTTGGTTATTGAGTTTGTAAAAACAGTCAACATTTTTGGGATGTTCCATGGAAGAGGACCTTCACTACAAACAAGGTCTAACACACTTTTTTTGGTAAACTTTATTGCAAAAGATATAGCAATCTATTATGAAAAGCTCTTTAAAATGCTGTTAGAAAAAATGCTTCCCTTCTCAAATATACATGTGCATGAGGGGAGGTCTTTAAACTGTGATTTACAAAATTCTGTTTCATCTATGTCAGGATATTACAACCCACAATATAGAATTTACTCTTTAGTACATGAACCAAAGTTTGCTAGCAGGCATCCATCTTAAAACAAGTGTGCAGCCACAGAATCAGCTCATGAAGCTGATGCAATCCATGAAATGTGTATTGGATATGAGATAATGTCTGGGAGAAGACATCAGTTGATGTGCTCAGTGATTGGTTGTTCAAATTTTGTAAGTGCCACACACTATGGTGGATTGTGCAGTATTGTGTTGGAGAGTTGCTGCATGAAGTGCTATCCATTTATTTGCTGAAAGTGTATTACCAAGTCTGTTGACTGATGTTCATATTTCCCCAAAAATAAGACCTAACCTGAAAATAAGCCCTAGTATAATTTTTCAAGATGCTTATAATATAAGCCCTACCCCAAAAATAAGCCCCAGTTAAGTGAAACCTCGCCCTCCACCATTGTGCAGCAAACAGAAGATGGCATGACTGTATTTGAATAAATATAGATTGTTATACATGAAAAACATAAAACACCCCCTCAAAATAAGCCCTAATGCATTTTTGGAGCAAAAATTGATATAAGACCCTGTCTTATTTTTGGGGAAACACAGTAGTCTGTAAATACACTGCTGGTAAAGGAACTTACTGTCTCTGTGAGTCTCTTTGCTGTCAGCCTGGAAGATTGACTTGTCTCAGAAGCATTTCTCACATCCCAAATCTTGTCAATCTGTAAAACTTCCATAACGATGTTTCAGTTCTTAGCTGAATTAATTCTTTGCATTTCTCTTCCAAGCAGAATATTTAGGGCAGATACTGAAAAGTGAACTGATTTTTCAGAAAAGGAGTCTGAAGAAACAAGTGCAATGATGATATGACATTTTGGAGGTGCATTAAAATTGACAAATCTCTGTTATGTAATTTATTATGTAATGTCCTGTAACTAGGGGCTTGTCTACACAGTCAGGAAGGACTGGCTAGATTGGGCTAAAAAGGATCAGGATCAGTTCTCATATGCCATTTGTATGATTCTTGCATCCAAATGGCATACTGATCTCAAGCAGCCCTATTTGGTCCACAGCAGCCTTCCTCCAATTTGCCAAAATTGTGAAGTGACTTAATAAGACAGCCACTTCAGGATATTGGCAAATTAATCACTTCCTTGACTCCATAGAGGAACTGAGGTTTAAATGTTCCAGTGTGTATTGGGCAGTGGATATTTGCTGCACCACTTAAAAAAATAAAAGACAAATGAAAGCCTTTATCCTAAAAGCTTCTCTTTGCTTTGCTTTTAAAGGTCCATTTGAGAGCCTGCTTGATTTGGCTGTTTGTCAAACCCAAGTCAAAGCTGGGAAGGTGGAGAGCTTGGCTTTTTACAAGGGGCAAGTGGAACAGCTGTAGCAGGAAGGGGCAATGAGAGAGATTTCTGTTTGCTTTTCTCTTAAAGGTCCAGTTCAGAGCCAGTTGATAAAAGCAATCAAAAATTCTCCTCATTCACCCTTCCTCTCTCCTCCTGCTACTGCTACTCTACTTGCCCCTTGTAAAAAGCTAAGCAAAGTCACACAAACAAAGACACACACACACATAAGCCAGGCAAGCTCTCAACTGGACCTTTAATAGAAAAGCAAAGGAGAATTTCCAGGATGAAACTTTCCATTTGTCTCTTAATTTTTGTAAATAGTGAAGTGAATGTTGGCTGCCCAATATGCACTTAAATTTTCCCCCCACTCCCTCAGGCCTTCGACAGAGCCAAGGAAGTGATCAGTTTGCCAATATTGTGAAGTGGCACTCTTTTTAAGCTACTTCACAATATTGGCAGCAAAACTCATTTTTAGTCCATTCCCACACATTGGAAATGGAATAAACCAAAGTGATCTTACCCGCACCAAAAAAGTAGAAGCTCCTGACAGGGGTCAAAAATGTGTGGATAGGAATTCTCTGAGATGGTTTGGTTTGCTCCAATAATTATATCATGTAATCGCTGTCCAACAAAGCAAACCAATCTGTCTCCACAACTATTCAAATGATCGCACCCTAGGCTTTTGTATGCAAAGACTGGAAAGTGCCAAGTGAAAAATCACCATGTTTTAAAAACATTTGCAGACTGGTGGATTATTTGGGGTGGTGTAGCTTAACACATTTGCAAAGCATTATATTAAACATATAGAAGTATATCTCTTGTTGTAAAAGAGTCAACAAAGCTAAGTCCCCTCCCAGTAACCTTTTGAAGCTAACTGTGCTTCTTAACAAGCCTATGGTTAAAGATATTCCAGTAGATGCTGTCAAAAGCTTTTTTTAAATCCAGGTATACAGTGTCACCCACCAAAGGCTTCAGAATAAACCTAGCAGAGCAGTCATGGGAAAGATAGCAGACTGATTGGCATAACTGCTCATCTGGAATGTTTTGAAGCACTGTAGGCTTACTGTTTCTGGAAGAAATAGCTGTCACCGTTCTCATTATCACACTCTAATTGTTAACGGCTATACATTAACAAGTAATTTGAAAGGGGTGGGATTCCATCCCAAACAATTCTTAGGATGATTAGGTTTGCAACAGCTTTTGCAAATAGCCAATATAGATCTCTCCCCTCCGTGCTTAGATGCCTCTGTGAAACAGGACTCTGGAGCAAGAGCCATACAGTAAGCACAGCAGCACCAGGGATCCTTCTGAATGCATCTCAATAGAGCCTTGCTGGTTTCAGTAAAAACTGTTCACTCTCTTTGGAGTTGAAGCTTGGGATCTGTTCATTTCTTTATTTAAACTGACGGGGTGGTGGAAAGTATGTGCCTTTTCGGTGGATATAATGTTGTTGAACAAGGAGTGTGGGAAGTAGGTATGTGTGCTTTGTGAAAGCAAGAAGGAACTGTTGACTATTTTTTTTTTCTTTCTTCACATTTGTTGGAGGTTGCCACTTTGCCACCTGGTCTGTGTTACAGCCACTCTTAGCAAAACATTCTCAGATGTCTGATGAAGTAATTTTGCCCAGAGCTGTTTTATAGACACTTCAATCCATAGCAGGAATACACACAGCAGAATCCTCTGGAGGACTGGCCAAGAGTGCCAGTGTATAGCAAGGTGCATGTCACACTGCACCTTTTGCTGTTACAAATCTTGCCTCACTTTTCTGTTCATTGATATCGCTTTTTTTTAATGGGTTGTTCTTTGCTTCCATTCTTCATATATGTGCTGATGGCTCTGATATGAGGCCCTGCAATATTTGCAAGGCAGCTGTAGGTCATTTATTCGCTCTTTTTTCCATTCCTGGGGAATTGCAATGGAATATTTCCTAACAAATGGAGTCTTTGGCCCACCATGGTTTAAATGTCTCAGGACATATCCTTCTGAGGTGTGTACAAATTAATGCAAAACTATGGGACCGAATCAGTGGAATTTAGCCAAGGATTGTGCCTGATGTACTATCAGATCAGTTTTGAAACCAGCAGAGAGAAAAATACATCAATCTACACCCATTATTGATATACATAGGGAACACAGCTGAAGGGTCCTGCAGTTAAAATGCCCCAACAACCTCCTGACCTGGCTGATATTGCTTGCCTAATAGTTTGTGTTATATCTCTCATGTAATATTCTTCAGTGACTCAGCATTTGGTGGAAAATGCGGAGTTAGTTGATTAGTTTCGCGGCTGTGAATTGAACTCTGTGCAAATATTCTGGATTATTTTAGGAACAAATCTGTAGAGGCTGTCAAATTCATCCACAAAGAAGGAGTGCTCTTTATCGGGATCGGTGGCAATGGCTTCCAGTTCATCTTGGGCGGCCCATGCAATTCCTACTGAATAGGCTATGACTCCTAAGTGAGAAATAGACAGAACTATGAACAAGGGTCTTTGTTAAAACAATATTGCATACAAATTAATCTTTAATATAAAGGTGTAAATCCAGCAACAAGTCTTAACTAGAATAGACTTACTGAATCAACTTTAGTAAGGTAATACCTCTGTCAATCCCACTGATTCAGTGGGTTCACTCTAGTTGAGATTAGCAGTTGGATTCAGGCCATAATTATAACAGCAAACCCAACAAAATTATCAAAGTTTCTTCAAAAGGAGTATGCAATGATTTTCTTCCTCATTAATCTTTAGCAGTAGGAAACTGCCTGGATTTTCTTTGCTAATCCCAGCACCAAAGCCCTATATTAACAGAGCCAACACTGATCATCCCACAGAAGGATGGTAACATAGTTACAGGAGGACTAAAATTAAGTGGCAGGGAAGAGGCTGGTGTAATGCAGAGGAATAACTCTTTCCTGTACTTTGCTACAGTTATATATGCTGAATTTACACTGATACAGTGGTGCCTCGCATTATGACGTTAATTCGTTCCAGCGAAATCGCTGTAGAATGAAAATGTAAAGCGAAAATAAAAAGCCATTGAAACGCATTAAAACCTGGTTAATGCGTTCCAATTGGCTAAGAACTCACCATCCAGTGAAGATCCTCCATGGGGCGGCCATTTTCGGGTGCGTGTGCAGTGAAACACAGCGGGGAGCCATTTTGAGCACCCGGTGGCCATTTTGAAAACCCGACGATCAGCTGTTTTGATCGTTGGGAAGCGAAAATTGGTTCCCGAAACAGGGAACCAATCATCGCACAGCGAAATTCCCCCATACAAAATGTCATTTTGCGATTGCAAAAAACTTGTCGTAATGCGGATTCGGCATTAAACGGAGCGCCCGTCTTGCGAGGCACCACTGTATATCTATGTATGTTTGTGTATATTAAGGGTTCCAATTACCACATGGAAAATCTACTTATGCAGCTATACAATTCACAATCCATGAGGAGCCTTGTGGTGCAGTGGTTAAACTGCTGTACCACAGCCAAAACTGTGCTTACAACCTGGGGTTCAATCCCAGGTAGCCGGCTCATGGTTGACTCAGCCTTTTATCCTTCCGAGGTCGGTAAAATGAGTACTCAGCTTGCTGGGGAGGCAATGTATAGCCTGCATAATTACTGTAACTTGTAAACCTCCCAGAGAGTGCTTGAAGTGCTATGAGGTAGTATATAAGCAGCTCACTTTGCTTTTACGCTTTTCAACAACAAAGCAGGGCTTTTGTTCCTTAGACCCATGTTTGCCAACAATCCTTTTCATATCACAGCCTGATAAAATACAGTATGCCAAAATTTGTACCGGGAGTTCCCATGCTTAGGATCACAACTCAGTATGCAGTATCAAGTTTTCTTTATAAACTTGGACTTCTCAGCTCCCAAATTTCAGTATAATATTTCAAACCCTTAGAGACTGTAGCTGATGCTTTGGGGAAAAAAAGTCCACAGCATTCAGTGGCTTACCATTTTGGTGTGCTGCTGTAGCTGGTCCTTGGACATCATCATAGGATCTACCATCTGTAATCAGAATCATGATCTTCCTCTTGTTGGGCTTAGATTTGCTGAAGAGTTGGTCAAAGGCATAGTTGATGGCTGCACCAGTGCTGGTCCCTCCACTCCAGTAGTTGATCCTCTTGATAGCAGTCAAGACATCTTGCTTTGTGGTGTGCTTGTCAAAGCCAAACTCCAGTCTCTGCTCGTAGGTGTACTGCACAGCTCCAACACGGGTGTCTGTATCAGAAATCTCAAATTCTTTGCTAATGTTGGCTACGAACTGGAGGACGGTGCGAAAATTCCCCGTCCCAACACTGCTGGATCCATCAATGACAAACCCAATGTCTGCCGAATTTAAACAGGTCTTGCTGCAGGCCAGGCGATCAGAGTCACAGACTCGCTTCACTAAAGGCTGCACCACTTTGTGTAAAGTGAACCAGCTGGGAACAGTGATAGAATAGTAGCCATTGGTCCGGCATACAGCCTGCAACACAAATGTAAATACAAAACAGGGAGTGGAGAGAGAGCACTTGCAACAAGAGAGAGAGAGAGAGAGAGAGAGAAACAAAGAAGGAAAAAGAAAGAAAAAAGAAAACCATTTTCTTGAAGAGGGGAAGGTTATAGCAATCAAGCATGGCTACCTTCAATGTTCAAGAATGAAGATGCCTACTGGCTAGATGCTAGCCAGTTGCCGTACTGTTTGCTTAAGTGCAGCGCTGATGTGCGTATTCAACAATATGTTCATCTGTTTCCGATTTCATTAGATCATCATCTAGGCCCGCTCATTGGAATTACAGTTATTGCACTGAGCGGGCACAAGGCAGGAGATCACATAACACTGAACAGCTTGGAAACTAAGCTGTACTTTGCAGGCAACAAAGCTGTTGCAGTGGGGAGACTTGCACAGAACTGAAATGTGCTTTATATATATTTAGCAGGAAAATATTCAAATTGCAAAGAGTTACTTTGCTTTGGCCCCTTAGCATATTAAGCCTTGTCTTGTAGTGTCATTCTTGTCTTTCATCCGATTGCGCATCTTCTCTTCCTCTAGTCACTGGCTTCTATCTCAGCGTTAAGCTAAGGCACAGGTTAGTGTAGTATTCCAGACTGCTTTATATAATTTCCTGCAGGAACCTCTACATTGCCGACGTAGCATCTGACTTGGATCTCTTACGGAATTCGCTTGTGAATTTACAGCATGTGTTTATCCTTCCCCTTTTTGCCACTTTCTAAGATGCAGCTACTGTTAATTCCCTGTGCACAGGCTTAGACTTGCTGTCTCATCCTAATTTTCCAATTTGGCAGGTGCACAGAGGTTCACTGTGGCTCAACCCCATTCAGACTTTAATAGACACAAGAATATCAGCCAATCAGATTCAGGGGAGGCTGCCTGGCATTAAAGCTCATAGGAAATATGTTCGTTGGCACAGATACAGAGAAAAGTGCACCAAATTATCAGAAGGAGTGTCCAAATGGTGGCAGGGTGTTGTTTTCTGAGTACGGTTCCCAAAGCCCACTTCAAGCAGGGCTCATTTGCCCTTCCAGCAACCCTCATATGCCAGACTAACTACTCAGCTGAATAGGCATTCTGTAATGGGTACCAATCTAAACTACATAGTTTGTTGTAAGAAGATGGAATATAACCCAGAAGTTTCATGTGTGTTGGAACAAAACTGGAGGCAGCAGCACACGGTGTTCAGTAAACATGATCTAACATTACTCATCTCTATACTTCACCTTGAAATGCTCGATTTTTTTTCCTGGCCTTCCTATTAGCTTCCCTCTGACTTTCCACACTCATGCTTGCATTGCTTCACTGAATACTACAAGGTTAAACTAGATGTGACACTTGCCAGTGAGTTTGCTCTTGCATGGTTAGAAAACTCACATTTATTTCTTCAGGAAATCATTAGGAGGTAGTACGTTAAAAAAAAAACCCTATACAGTGGTGCCTCACTAGACAGTTACCCTGCATGACAGTTTTTTCGCTAGACATTGACTTTTTGCGATCGCTATAGTGATTCGCAAAACAGTGATTACTATGGGGGAATTTCGCTGGACAATGTTTGGTCCCTGCTTCGCAAACCGATTTTTGCTAGACAACAATTTTGACAGCTCCCTCCGCGCTTGCAAAACGGGTGTTTTCGGGACCTAAGCTTCACACGACAGCTATTTAAACAGCTGATCGGTGGTTCGCAAAGCGGCTTTCCTATGGCCAATCTTCGCTAGACAACAACGATTCTTCTCCATTGGAACGCATTAAACAGGTTTTAATGCATTCCAATAGGAAAATGCTTTCACTAGACAATGATTTTGCTAAACAGTGATTTCAGTGGAACGGATTATCATCGTCTAAGCGAGGCACCACTGTACTTGGTTACATGAGCCATTAACACAGGCAGGTATGTCTGTTAGTAGCCATTATGAGAAAAAATTTATATGCTAACCTTCTACAGCAAAGGAGAAAAACCACATGGTTTGCAAGAGGAGAAAGTAAAGCTTTTTGTTTAGCAATATATACTGTATATATATATCAGTACGTGATTACTTACAAAGGAAGAGAAAATGCATTGGTCCATAGATCATGATCTATTGCTCCATGGTGGTTCAAAATGCTTGCTACATACTTTTAACTTCCAGCCCATAAAAGGCAGACAGATGTACTGAGCCTCCCTGACTACAGTAGCAACAGAATATTTGAAAGGAAGGTGACTGCAACCAAGAACTAGAGAATGTTGTTCACACTTATTTATCTAGGCAAATATATCCCACTTATATATGGTCTGTCATTGTCTCACCAAGTTTGAAAGAGATGCCTGGGTCAAACCAGTCTTTGCCCAGATTAAGGAGACTTGTTGGCACTAAATCCTGTGTCTCACCTCTCTTCTGGTGAACCCCGGTTCGTCTTACCTTGTCCACAAAATTGGCTTCAACCACATATTGTTTTTCATTTTCATCTGGTCCTTCAATGGTGACAAAGAAAATGTTAATGCCAGATTCCCTTGCCAACCTGGAGGCTTCCTCCACCTTATCTGTGGGCCAGCCGTCCACCAGCACGACAGCAATGTTGGGGGCACCACCCCGATTCCCGTTAGAATCCTCAAAGAAGTTTTTGTTAACAAAAGACAGAGCTCTCCCTGTGATAGAAGGTGGAAAGAAAAAAGCCAGAAGGATGGGCATAGTGAATTGTAATTTTAAAAGATGACATTAAATCTCCTGCTACATAATGTATACTTGTTTAGTGCTGCATATAGTTAAGAGCAGAAACTGTCCATCTATCCTAGAGAAACTAATTTTGTCATTAAATGGTTCCCCTTCCTTTAACATGCAGCTAAACAGGACTTCCAACCCAACAACCTCATATCTCAAAAGATGCTATACTTCTATGTGGACATTTAAGAAACCAGTTACCACTTACCTGTACTGTGATTACATATCCTTAAGAACATCACATAGTTAAGCCAATAGCTCATGAAGTGTTCTATACAATACCAAAGTTATTTGAGGCTCAGTGTGATGTGGAAGTATGCCGTACAGTTCACTTAGTATAATTTGTGTTGTTAACAAGATAAGTAACCCTGATAAAGGAAAAATAGTTTTTGGTTTAAAGTTTACCCTTTGTATAATGTACACCCAACTGAATGATTAGTTGTTTTTTAGTTGAAAGTTACATTTGTTGTTTTTGTTCTTGGTTCCCATTCTTAAATTTTTCATAAAAATGTATGGTTAAAAAAGATTAGAAACTGTCTAAATTAATTGCAAGAATCCTATTGCTAATTTAGGTTTGCAAAAGGGAAAAAGCCTAAGTTTTGGCAACAAATTGGCAGGTGCTAAGGTGGTGATGGTTGTGCTCTTGGGCCCAGGAACACAACCAGAATCATGCTCTTGAGTGGTAATTTGCCATGAAGACTTATACAATTTGCATTATGCAAGTGTAAAGTGACAATAGAAGGCTAATATGAGGAAAATCAATATGCAGATGATACTACGAAATAGTAATATTCTATATTTAGTAGTTACTCCAGATGGTAAGTGAGAGCACTAATTTCCATTCAGATTGCCCAGAAAATATGCATCCCCACTGAAAGCATATGTTGCAAGGAACTAGCCTCACATCCAAATGTGCCTGACCATGTGGCCATACACTGGTATTGCTCATTGACACCCAACATCTGCATGAAGTTCCTGATCCACCAAGAGAAACTGCCTACTTGAATGCCTTGCTTTTATTGCTTGATTGGCTGAATGGTTCACTAATGCACTGGTTCTTAACCTTTGTTACTCAGGTTTTTTTGGACTGCAACTCCCAGAAGCCTTCACCATCAGCTCTGCTGGCTGGGATTTCTGGGAGTTGCAGTTCAAAAACACCTGAGTAACAAAGGTTAAGAACCACTGCACTAATGTAACTCCTTGACATGTCTAGAGCAAGCAGCTAAGTCTTCCTCACTAGCAGAGTGTGGAAAGCAACTAGTTACTTCCTCTGCATCCAATGTAAGTAGTAAGTTATCTGAAATAAGTAACAGGCAGTTACTTTCAGAAGTTACTTTTATGGTTCCTTAACAGGAACTTCTCAGGTTTTATGCCATCCTATTTTAAATACTAAATTGCAGGGAAGTATTCTTTGATTTTGCCTTCTGCATTTTCATGAATATTTCCAAGGTAAAATGTCAGAATCGGCTACAACAGGAAACCAGAAAATATCCCCTTGTATTCTTCTGTCCTTTTGGCAACAATAATGTGCAACACAACACATTACTTTTGCAATTGGCGCAGCAATAACAGTAATGACTTTGTCCCCTGCTCCCTTTACTGCAAGTAAGCGTAGTGATTTCCTGATGTGGACTGAGATGACAGTGTGCAGGTAATGAAACCTTAACTATTTGCCCCAAGGCTGTTTCCCGCCCACACCCAACTTTACATTAGCTGTGATGGGGCTTAAAAAGAGGAAAATCTTGAATGTCCAATGGAAGCTCTCTCTCCCTCTCTCTGTGTGTGATTTTTTAAAAGCTCCTACATGGAAGGTGAGATTTAGCAGTGGAAGTAGCTGCAGATGGAAAGCTAAATTACCCCTATCCATGTACAGTGTTAGGGCCCAATTAAGTTAAAGTAGAAATATAAGTTAACCATCAACTTCTAATGTAGTTTATCGTTTAGCCATAAGGCACTTGTGATTCAGACTCGTTCTAGACAATATACTATAGTTAAAATGTTACTAGAAAGAAAGCATGAGTGAAAGTTGAAAAGATGCTGAAAACCATCTGTTTGTGAAAACATGCTTTCACTCAGCTTTGTATGATGCATGCTAATGAGCTTTTTTGTGACAGATATGTACTTGGAAGATAAATATGGACATTTGTAAGTCTGATTACTCAGACTTGTGTGTCTGAAGAAATTAAGTGGTGGAGGGAAGAACAAGATATTAGGAGGAAATACACATACCCTGTTAATTTAATTTAATTTAGCTCATAGTTTCTGCTTGAAATCCTATGCTGTTAACTAATGACCACTAATTAGCTCACTATGGCTGTTCTTAATGCTGTGAAATAAATAAAAAACTTACGTTTAAATCAGAAATGTCTTTGAGATATTAACTCTTGATTTTCTGGAAAAGAAATATATTTTCCAGATTCAGGGAAAATGACTCAAGGGGGAAAGGCTTGTGAAGTCTTGGCCGGAAACTCCTAGAATGTCAGACATACCATTGTGCCCCTTCTGATACTTAAGCTGATTAGCTGTGAATGCATCATGCAGGCTACATACCAACATTGGATAATCCTCCTTTCTGAAGTATTTTCTCGATAGCATTTTTCACGTCCTTAGTGTTTGCATAAGTCTTCAAGTTAAATTCAGTAGAAGGGTCATCTCTGTGTTTAAAACAAAAGCAGAGCAGCTTCTATGCTTATTTTTGGGAAAGAAAGCTCTGATCAAATCAAGAACAGAAGTATGATAATGTCATATTGGGAACAATGATAATGTCATATTGGGAACAATTTACAGTGGTGCCTCGCTTAACGATTTTAATTGGTTCAGAAAAAAATCGCTATGTGAAAACATCGTTAAGCGAAACACCATTTCCCATAGAGATGCATTGAAAACCGGATAATCCGTTCCAATTGGAACGGATTACCATCCTTAAGCGAAAATCCCCATAGGAAAAAACGTTAAGTGAAACCCATTGAAATGCATTGAAGCCAAATTTCAATGGGGGAAAAAAATTCACAAAAAATTCAAACAGACTCAGAACAAAGCCAAATTAAGTTAACAAAGGTTTTATTAGGTGCACTAATGATTCCAAGCATTTTAAACATTTTTTAAACATTTTAGAATATTTTTAAAATAGCAAAAACGGGGCTGTAAAAAAAAACATTAAGCGAAACAAGGGGACCTAAAACTGTCATCGTTAAGTGAAGCATGGTCCCGAAATCGTTAAGCGAAAATCGCCCATAGGGAAAATCGTTAAGTGAAGCGCAAGATCGCTCCGAAAAAGCCATCGTTAAGTGAATTTTTCGTTGTACGAAGCAATCGTTAAGCGAGGCACCACTGTACCTATAAATTGTTCCCAATAGGAAATACACATGGTCCTCCTATACAGTGAAATGAATGAATACATAATATATGCATGCTGTGTTTATGGGCTCTTGCATATGAGTTTACTTCTTACAATTTTACCATTACGTTTGGACATGTACAAGAATCACTTGTGAACTATTCTCTGATCAAAAAACGCAGTGGTGATAATTAATTACGAATGCATTTGTTGTACCTGACAATTTCGTATTATTCGTGTTTGGACATAAAAGCTATTCTTGAAGGAAATAAAAACATAACCTTAAAGGCCTTGCATCACCAACTCCAGGCAGGCCTTATTAATGGAAAATGTAATAATAGTACACAAAGGTCCACAGGAGCCATTTTACATCTTGCAGCTCCATCTGGCTGCTAGCTGTGAATGCGCCATAGAGTGTGTTTTGGTGGCTGTTCCAAAAAGGGGGCCTCCGTGGCTGTGCCATATACTTATCTTGCTAGAAGAGGAGCAGTGAGATGAATATAGATCAGGTACCCATGGATCTCCCATCATGTGTAATGCTGCACATGATGACACCAGCAACAAAATACTGCTGTGTGGGATGTTCCTGGCTAGGGTTCCAGCCAGCCACATCTCCCAGAATGCTCCGTTCCTTTCCCTCTGCCCACTCCCACCCCAGTCTGTCAGTTTTCCATGCCCACTTAGTGCTCATTTGGCTGTTTTGGAGGAGGCTGTTCTCTTAAGGTTTTCCCATAAGGATTGTTGTGTAATTTTGCAAACCCCAGGCCAGCTAGTACCTCCCTCTCTTCGGCACAGCTTGGAAAAATTACTTTTGGACTGGAATTTGCACAATTCCCCAGATTCTAGGAGTTATACAACCACCTCACCCAACAGTAAGTTTCCAGCCTCTGGAATAGAATGATATAGAATGACCCATTATATTTATGACCAAGGTTCAGCCAAGGAGGGAAAAGGATTTCACTGAGTTCCACTTGATCCCTCTTAGACACATAGCTGAACTGATGAGATAGACATGCAAATTTTGATTTATTTGATTCTTGCAGTGAGCATGAAAAATTGCAAAAGCTTTGCTCCTACTGGGTCAGTTTGGAAGAGTTTTGTACATTTCTGCGTTTCCAGATTTTGGCAACTTTTGTAGCAAAAAATACTTTTTCCTCTCCCACAAAAAAAAAGCAACACTTGTGGCAAAAACGCGTTTCCAGAATTTGGCAACTTTTGTAGCAAAAAATACATAAGCATTTCTCACCACACTCCAGCAGACTCTCACACTGTTTGTGAGAATGGTCACACAATGGTTGTGTGACCATTCCCACACAACCAGTGCAAAATGGAACAATCTGGAGCCATGATCTGATTGCCCTTTGGCTTCATGTCAAGGCAAGAGGGTAGTACTAGTCCATGCCTCTTGACTGTCATGCAAATGAGACAATGTAGACATGAGGGCTTCGTACTCATATACGAATATGCAGTCTGCTGGCACAGAGGGCCAGCCTGATTGCCACCCCCCCAGAACCCGCTGGAGCATTTACCTCATGGTGTGTGGTGCGCATGGCCAGGGTTATCTCCTACACGCCAACTGTGGCAGTCGCTCAGCTGCCACAGCCCCGCCTACATGCTCTCCTGGCCTCTCCAACAAGGGAGTGGGAGGGCGAGTCTCCCCGTTCAGCAGTGGAGTGGCTGAGCAAGCAGGGAGGTGGGGCTGCAAGACCCAAGCTACGGCTGTGCGTTTCCAGATTTTGGCAACTTTTGTAGCAAAAAATACTTTTTCCTCTCCCACAAAAAAAAAGCAACACTTGTGGCAAAAAAACTTGTGGCTATGCATAAAAATAGTATTTTGCACAGAAAATACAAGGCTTTTCGTGCAAAATATAAATCTCATTCTTCAAGACAAGATGTTTGTGTTTATGGCTGCTATCCTGTTTCTCAAATGCAGAGAGGAACAAAAATCACATAAGCATTTCCCACCACACTCCAGCAGACTCTCACACTGGTTGTGAGAATGGGCACACAACGGTTGTGTGACCATTCTCACACAACCAGTGCAAAATGGAAGAATCTGGAGCCATGATCTGATTGCCGTTTGGCTTCATGTCAAGGCAAGAGGGTAGTACTAGTCCATGCATCTTGACTGTCATGCAAATGAGACAATGTAGACATGAGGGCTTCGTACTCATATACGAATATGCAGTCTGCTGGCACAGAGGGCCAGCCTGATTGCCACCCCCCCAGAACCCGCTGGAGCATTTACCTCATGGTGTGTGGTGCGCATGGCCAGGGTTATCTCCTACACGCCAACTGTGGCAGTCGCTCAGCTGCCACAGCCCCGCCTACATGCTCTCCTGGCCTCTCCAACAAGGGAGTGGGAGGGCGAGTCTCCCCGTTCAGCAGTGGAGTGGCTGAGCAAGCAGGGAGGTGGGGCTGCGGCAGCTGAGCTACTGCCATAATTGGAGCACAGGAGATGATGGTAGCCACATGCACAATGGTCCAGCAGGGTCTGGGAGTGGGTGTTCACAGGTCATTTTGACTTATGGTGACTGCTTTCATGGTTTTCCAAGTAGAGAATACTCAGAAGTGATTTACCATTCCCTTTTTCTGTGGCTGCCCTGAGACTGTGCAGCTTGCCCATAACAAGAACACCATGTGCTGATGCAGCTGGTGAAATGAGTGGGCTAGTAATCCTATCGACACCTGGATGCTGTATTTCCTTGATTTTTTCTGTTTTTTATATTGATTGATTGATTGATTGATTGATTGATTGATTGATTGATTGATTGATTGATTGGTTGGTTGGTTGGTTGGTTGGTTGATTGATTGATTGATTGATTGATTGATTGATTGATTGATTGATTGGATTTCTATCCCACCCCTCTAGACTCAAAGTCTACTGTGGGCAGTTTACAAATTTAAAAACAATAAAACCAACAAGCATATATCATAAATCCAAGGTGGCAAAAGTATAAGAAATTAAGATACAGCAGGATGGAAAGCCTGCCCAAATAGCCAGGTTTTAATTTTATTCCTGAAAACACCCAGAGAGGGAGCCAGGCGGATCTCCATGGGCAAGTTGTTCCAGAGGCGAAGGGCCACTGCTGAGAAGGCCTGGTTCCTCGTTCTTTCCTTCTGGACCTCCCTCAGCATTATGCCTCTTAGCCGCCAGGCCTGTCTGGAATGAATGACTCTGGCAGAACTGTGTGGGAGAAGGCGCTCTGCCAGAAATCGAGGTCCTAAACCTTTTAGGGCTTTATATGTAATCGTAAGAACTTTGAAATCAACACGGAAACGAATGGGCAGCCAATGCAAGGCGGCCAGAGTGGGGGAAATATGATGGTACCTTTTCACCCCAGTAAGAAGTCTGACCGCCACATTCTGTACCATCTGAAGTTTCTGCGTCAGTCTCAAAGGCAGCCCCATGTAGAGCACATTACAGTAGTCTAACCTTGAGACTAAGAGCGCATGGACCAAACTCATATCTATTAAAGCAGAATAAACAACAGAATAAAATTCAACAGCAATAAGTGCAAAGTATTACACCTTGGAAAAAGAAACCAAATGTACAGTTACAAGATGGGGGATACCTGGCTCAGCGATTCTACAAGCTTGCAGGATCTTTGAATTGTTGTAGATCACAAGTCTAACCTTGAGACTAAGAGCGCATGGACCAAACTCATATCTATTAAAGCAGAATAAACAACAGAATAAAATTCAACAGCAATAAGTGCAAAGTATTACACCTTGGAAAAAGAAACCAAATGTACAGTTACAAGATGGGGGATACCTGGCTCAGCGATTCTACAAGCTTGCAGGATCTTTGAATTGTTGTAGATCACAAGCTGAATATGATTGCAGGATCTTTGAATAGTTGTAGATCACAAGCTGAATATGAGCCAACAGTGTGATGTGGCTACATAGAAGGCAAATGCTATTTTAAGCTACTTTAACAGAAGTATAGTTTCCAAATCCTGCGAGGTGCTGGTCCCCCTCTATTCAGCACTAGTTAGGCCTCATCTTGAGTATTGTGTCCAGTTTTGGACACCACAGTTCAAGAAGGATGCTGACAAATTGGAACAAGTTCAGAGGAGGGCAACAAGCCCTATGAGGAAAGACTGAAATAATTGGGCATGTTTAACCTTGAGAAAAGAAGACAAAGGGCTGATGCAATAACACTTTTCAAATACTTGAAAAGCAGTCATATTGAAGAGGGGCAAGATCTGTTCTCAATCATCCCAGAGTGCAGGACAGACAACAATGGACTCAAGGTACAGGAAGCCGGATTTTGACTAAACGTCAGGGAAAACTTCCTAATTGTTAGAGCAGTATGACAATGGAACCAATTACCTGTACCTTGAGAGGTGGTGAGTGCTCCAACACTGGAGGCATTCAAGAGAAATTTAGACAATCATCTGGCAGATATTCTTTGATTTGTATTCCTGCACTAAGCAGGGGGTTGGACTTGATGATCTTATAGGTCCCATCCAAATTCAGTATTCTATGATTCTGTGATTCAACACAAACAGCTCTAAACGGTGTCTAGAATTTTTCTTCTGGTGTTGCTACTGTACTCAGACTCGGAGGACATGCTCCACTGATGGTGGGTAACTGTGGCCTTCCAGATGTTTTTACATAAACTTCTGCAGCCCTAGCCAGCATAGCCCATGGTGAGCAATTATAAGACTACAGTCCAAAAACATTTTGAGGACCCCAATTTCCCATGTTAGTTTTAGGCAATACCATTGTTTTGAGAAAGGGAAAAAGCAGGGAAAATATCTTACCCATACTGAATTATGCCCATGAGAGGGCCAGCAATGCCAATATCCAGCGCTTCAGCAACATTTCTGAGGAATTGTTTTTGGATCTGAAAGCGGCGCTTGCCAATGCTCCAGCTCCCATCTATCAAGAAGGATAAATCCACTTTGCAATCTGGAAATAGAAATTAAATAAAATTGGGAAAACTCTGGATTGCTTTCTTGCAATGCACACTTTTCTTACAACATCCACCCTATGTTAGATCCCCATCTGAAGCAACCACTGGATGATTTTCATAATCTACCAGGAGTATTTCTTAATCAAAGATAATAATAATTCTATCTGGCTGGCAGATACAAATCTGTTCTGTCCCTTTCAGCTCTTGTAGTATCAATTTAATCCAACCATCTGTGTACAATATTTGTTTAAGATGTTTATGGACAGAAAGCAGGGAGATGATTTATGAAAAATTTTGGTCATGCCACAGCTCACAGTACCCACTGAATATCTGCTATGGGAAGCTGGAACCCCTTCCAGAAACTATGTAAGAAGGCTTTGGAAACTATAAGGGAAAACTGCTGAATATTGTGACCCCTTCACACATGATCCTCTGTTGAACCTGACTTCTCTTCTGTAGATAAAAAGAGTTCTTCCGTTCATGGAGTAGCCTAACAAATTGGTAAGATCTGAATCCCAGGGGTTCTGTAGACTTAGGTGGGCATCTTCTAGAGGTCTGAGGGCCATATGAGCCCATGCCTGAACCTTGGAGGCTGCACAAAGCCTTCTATCCTAGGTCATTAGGCATTCTTCATTCTTGAGAGACTATGATAACATGCTCTGTATGGAGGACTTGGAACAGTGTCTAGTGTGGCTGAGAAGGCCAGTTGGAGAATGACAATCCCTTCCACACTCAAGACAAATACAATCTGTCCCCTGTCCAGCTCCCTGATTTTGCTGCTTTCGTGACTGCCTCTTTGCCTCAGCCTGCTGGACAAGTGTCTCTTCAAATTGGGAGAGGCCATGATGCACCGCCTGCCTCCAGGCTGAACGCTTAGACGTCAAGGTTTCCCATCTGTTGAGGTCCATTCCTAAGGCCTTCAGATCCCACTTGCAGATATCCTTGTATCGAAGCTGTGGTCTCCCTGCACTAATTCTCCATACAGGAGATCTTTTGGAATCCAACCATCAGCCATTCTCACAACATGCCCAAGCCAATGTAGATGTTGCTGTTTCAGTAATGTGTATATACTAAAAATTCCAGCTCGTTCTAGGACTACTCTATTTGGAACTTTGTCCTGTGGGGTGATACCAAAAATGCGTTGGAGGCAACGCACATGGAAGATGTTCAGCTTCCTCTCCTGCCATGCACAAAGGCTCCAGGACTCACTGCAATATAGGAATGTGCTCAGGACACAGGCTCTATATACCTGGATCTTGGTATATGTTGTCAGCTACTTATTGAGCCATACTCTCTTTGTGAATCTAGAGAACATGGTAACTGCTTTGCCAATGTGTTTATCCAGCTCGACATCTA